TTTTCATATGTCTCTTGGCCATTTGTATGTCCTGTTTAAAGGGGTGTCTATTTAGGTCCTCTGCCCATTTTTAAATTGGGTTCTTTGTCTTCCTTTTGTTGAGTTGTATGAGTACTCTATATATTTTGGAAATTAATTTAGAAAAAGTTAAATTGCCTAGTAAACATCTGAAAAGATAATTAACTGCATTTAAATTTTGAGAAATGAAAGTTAGAGCAACTCAGAGAACCTGGATTGTTAAAAATTAAAATAATGGGTAATATCCAGTGTTGGCAAGTATTTGGGGAAACAAGCATCTTCATTTATTGTTAGTGAGACTGTAAATCTGTGAAGCATTTTTGGAGATATTTTGGCAGTATTTATTAAAATTAAATATGGAAATGATACCATTATAATAACCTGGTTATTCTATAACAAGAAAGGAGTAAAGGAGAGACTAGATAATATAGGCATGCCATTTATATAGCTTTGCCAGAAAGCTGCAGTTTAGATGCATGCTCATTAAGTCTGGGTGATGTGGGAAGGTGCCTGCCTGTCAATCACAACTGGACACATAATTGACCAGAATAGGTGTGGCCACTGGAAGGGCATGACATCTGAATATTTAAACTCCTAAACAAAGAAAGTTCTCTGTCTTGGCTCTCTCTCTTGCTTGCCCGTGCTTCTGCCTCTCCTGTTGCAGGAGGTGCACTCCGCTGCATTAGCCCACATGGCTCATGGCCCTGTGGGACCCACACAGTGGACCGATGGACTGAATCTAGCCTGATGCCTGATGCTATGCTGGACTCAACTCCACCATGGGATGGAAACTCTGGACACTGGCCCTGCTTCTAGCTCTGCTGAAACCCCAGCTGCGTGTTTTCCAGGACTGGTTTAAGGGAATGGGGACTATAAACCGAGAGACGTAACTCCATCAAAGTAAAGCCTTTTACCACATCTCATTCTCCCGAGTGGATCTTAGAAAATTCCTTTTCTCAAGATATCACAAGAACCCCACTCCCACTAGTGATGGAGACATTGAACCCACTCGATTCTCTAGCAACAGAAATACGAGCAGTGCTATTTCCACATATCTGTGCTATGGATCTATTTACACATGAAAGCTACGAGTTACGCATATAGAGTTGATTCGTGTCTTTGTTTCTAGTAGTGAGAAATGGAAAACAACCTAAATATCCATCAATAGTGAATTGGTTAAATAAATTATACTATAGTCATACTTTATAATAACACATAACTATTAAAAATTATGAGGTAAATTTTTATGTACCAACATGGAAAGATAACCAAGATATATTGGTAGGTAAAAATACAAAAAAAAAAAAAAAATACACATAGTATTATCTCTTTTGCCTAAAATAGGGGAAAAAAAGGCTATGTTTATAATATACATTTGCCTATGTTATATTTCATATACATTTAAATGTGTATTTAAATAAATGAATAGGTACTTACTGGATGTATGATCTTGGGTAACATGCTTAACCTCTCAGTATTTTATTCTCCTTATATGGAAAGTGAAATAATAATAATACATATTCGCTAGGGCTATATGATAAGGCTTAAATAAATTAATCAATTTAAAGTGTTTTGAATAGTGTCTGGCACATAGTAGGCACTTTATAATGTCCTATTGATACCATTGCAATTCACCTAGTTATTAATAACAGGAAAGGAGCAAAGGGAAGGCTAAATACTATAGGCATGTCATGTAGGCAGCTTCGCCAAGAAGCTGCAACTTTACACTCCTCACAGGTCCAATGGAGGAGAGATAGCATCTTGCCCAGTAAAGCTGGGATGACATAGGGAAGGTACTTGCCTGCCATTCACACCTGGGAACAGGTCATTGAGCAGAATAGGAATGACCATGGGAAAGGCACAAAATTTGTGATATTTAATTCCCTACCAGGGGTGGGGAACCATTTTCTGCCAAGGACCATTTGGATATTATAACACCTTTGCAGGCCATACAAAATTATCAACTTAAACATTAGCTTGCTATATTTGGTCAGATTAATTCGGTGAGACATGTGATGTTAGTTGGTACTGATTTCATGGGCTTTATATGGCCCACGGGCCAGACGTTCACACCCCTGCAAGGAGTTAGCGACCTTGTGCTCTTATGCTCTTGGCTCTCTTGGGATTCTTGTTACAGGGGGTGTGCTCTCTCAGTTTCCTTGCATTTGACCACATAGCTCATGGCCATGTGAACCCCATGCACTATGGACTAATGGACTGTAACCAGCCTGATGCTGAACTGGACCTGGCTGCAACATGGAACAGAAACTCTGGATACTGGCTTTGCTTTCAGCTCTACAGAAACCCCAGCTATACTTCTTTCAGGCCTGGATTAAGGGAATGGGACTTTGGAAACTCAGGGATGTAATTCCATGCAAATAAGAATCACTCATCCTTCCATGAGAATCTCAGAATATTGTTTTTTTTCGAGATATCGTCAGGACTCCACCCCCAGCACTCAGTAGGGAAAGGAATACTCCAGTTTGTCCAATAACACTATTATTCAGATATATGTTAAACTTGGGAAAATAAGTTATTATTCTTGAGGTGGGAATAGGATTTAAGACATAAGAGGGGGCTATAATTGTTTATATTATATGCTCAATTAAAAAAAATCCTTATTGATTTCAGAGAGAGAGGAAGGGAGAGGGAGAAAAAGATAGAAACATCAATGAGAGAGAACATTGACTGACCGCCTCCTGCATGCCCCCCATAGAGATCGGGCCCAACCTGGGCATGTGTCCCTGACCGGGAATCAAACTGCAAACCTCTTGGTGCATGGGTTGACGCTCAACCACTGAGCCACACTGTCCAGACTGTATGCTTAATTTTTAAAAAGTGGTCACGTGCTTATGTGTCGAGTAACTAAAAAATATTTTTAAAAGCTTATCTAAGGAGGTCTGTTAAAGAATGATTATAAAAATCCAGGAACAAAGTCAAAGGGTCCTGAGCGAAGGCAGGAGCAAAGGGAAAGAAAGGAGGCACAATACTTGATGTTGGTTATGGGAAGCCAGGGAGAAGGAGGCATGGGTGGCTCTCAGCCTGGGGTCTGAGTGATTGCCTTGGAAAATCCTGAACCATGGGAAGAAATAGTAGAGTCAGGAGAACGATTTTGGGGAGTGTAGTACTTTAGGATAGAGGAAGATTAGTACTGTTTGAACTATGTTGAGTTTATGCTTATGGGAACCCATCTAATAGGACATATTCAGTAGACTGGAGAAAGCTGATGTTTCAATGACCACTTTCAAGTAGAGCAGCAGAAGAAGTTTGATTCTCAGGTCTCATTTTAGCAGTTTCCATCTAATATTTCCATGATAAAAACAAATAATTGTGGCGTTATGGAACCGTCTCTGGGCCTGGAAGAGAGAGACCTGTTCTAGTCACTCAGACTGACAAGGGTAAAAGGAACTCAAGATGCTGACCGACTGGGAGGAGACAGACGTGCACAAAATTGATTGCAGTACAGTGTTCTCAGCGCTCCAATAGCCATATGCACAGGCTGTGTAATAGTGTGAAGATGGGTGTGATTCCATCTGCTTAGGGTTATAGTAGATGTCACCTCATTTTCTATATCTTTCTTGTTTGTTTAGGGAACTGTACTTTGGCGTTGTATAACATAACCAGGGTGGGAGTGGAAAATAATAATAAATGAAGTTGAAAAGAGGGCAAGAATCAGACCATAGATGGTCTTTAGGCTCTTCTCTGGGCAATGGACGGACAGACATTGAGTGGGGTTGCCTTCAACAAAATCACAATTGTTCTGTTTGTGGTACGGCAGATCAGTAGCAAGACAGCAGGAATGCTTGCATGTAGACAAATGAGGGGTTATTAAAATATTTAAATAGCTCTGGTTATAAAGGATGAACTCTCTGAACTATGCCCAAAGCAATGGAAATAGAAAATGATAGGCAGAACTGATAGAACTCTGTTGTTGATTAATTTTGGAGGATAAAGATGAGGGAAGGAGCTTTGACAGACTTCATGTTTCCAGCTCAAGTGACTGGATAACCAGTTCTTTCTCCCTAATACTGTTTTTATCAAATCAGTCATCTCTTTTCCATTACTGTTATGTAGCCAGTACTATTACTGGAGTTCAGATCTCCATTTTAACTTTCCTTGACCACTGCAAGAGCTTCCTCACAGAGCCCTCTTGAAATTATTCACCACACAACAACCGGAGCAATCTGTCTAAAATGCAAATGAAGTCATAGTTCTCCCTTACTTAAAATCCTTCACTGCCTCCGCATCTCCTGCAAGATTAAAATCAAAGGACTTTTACGTGACATATGAAGGTCTTGAGGGTCTGTTCTTTCTAGCCACATTGTTACTCCCTGCCTGGGAGCTTGAACTTCAGCAGCTCCTCATGTCTTGTCGTTTTTTATGCAAACAAGATGATTCAGGGAACATCTTTGCTCTTGCTGTTCCCTCTGCTTAGAGTGCCTTTGTTCCTTGGTTTCCCCAACACACACACACACACACACACACACACACACACACACACACTCACACCCTCCCCACCCCAAGCTCCCCCACCCCCTCAGGTGCACAACTGTTTGTACTTTAAACCATGGTTAGGTCTATAGCTCTAGAAAACGTTTAGACCGCTCAGACAGGGTTAGTTTGCTCATGTTTGTTATTGCTGGATATATCCCTACAGTTGGGCAACTTTGTTTTATGATTCTATTTACTTTCTATTTCTGACCAATTTTATTGAGGGCAGATATGGCATCTTTATTATTTTTGTGTCTCAACTGTGTAGCACATTTCTTGGTATATAGCATATGTTTATAGGTTTGTGGGATACATGAATTAAAAAATGAGTCGGTGAGTGGTGCTGTCATTAATTAAATTAGTGGATTACAAAAAGTAGAAGAATTATGGGAATAAAAAGGAAAATTTATGATTATATCATAAATAAATTTTACGGAAATGTAATTTTAGATTTGTACATTTTATCATTGAGATACCTTTGACTCCTTCAGGTATGGCTATGTCAAGGTGGCTAAATGAAGCAATCTGGCTTTTAGGTGAGAGGCCTGGTTTTAAGGTATGAATATGGGAGTTTTCAACGCATAGTTGGTGGTGTGTGCTATACTACTACTTAAGATCATTCAGGGAGAAAATAGAAGACAGCCAGTGCACACTTGATGGCAATGTTTTGACCCACAGAAGAAATCAATTAAGAGCACACATATCCACACAAATACGTGCGCGCGCGCGTGTGTGTGTGTGTGTGTGTAATTGAAACAAACATTTTATGAAACAGTGCATGCTTTTATGGAAGGGAGATGTCTTCTGTCATTTTCTTCTTTTAAAAAATTCTATCTTATTCTACCATGTCCTGTCCTATCATTTCTTTCCTGTTTAGTAATATAAAAATGCTGTTAACATTCTGACTGGCAGTCTGATAACTACAGCTCTTTGGAACACTTACATTTAAGAAGAAAGAGAAATGTTGGTGAAGGAGACTGACAAGGAGGGGCCAAGAAACAGGAGACAAGTGGGAAGAGGGTAGTGTGTGTCGCAGAAACCGGGGAGTGAGCGTTTTCGGGAAGGAAGGTGTGGTTGCCAGTGTGAAATGCCGCAGAAAGGTCAAGTGAGGCTACTGAATTTGATGACTAGGAAACTCTTAGTAACTTTAGTGAACACATTTTAGCATTAGCTAGGTTGGAGTCAGCTGAGGAATGGGTGAGGGAGAAAGGGGAAGAACCTGAGCATAACCTCCTCTCTGTAAAAACAGAGCCTGCCAGGCACTATTCTACTAAGGATCGTTTCATCCTTTAGTTCATTTCTTAGTTATAAAAGACCTTACAAGGTAGGCATTACTGGTGTGAGTTCTTTAAATCGCATGAGCAAGCTGAGCCTCAGAGCTTATTTAGGCGACATGTGGTGCATTATCACACAGTGAGCTGTAGAACTGGAATTCAAACCTTGGTCAGTGTCAACTGTCCATTCTGTAGCTTGCCAAATGGACCATAGCAGTTAGTCTATTTTTTGTATATTGGATAAGTTATTTAATTTCTATGGGTGTGAGTTTACTAATCTATGTAATTATAGATGGAGAAGCTTGACAGAAATTATAGACTGCAGAAATACAGAAAGTAAAGAGCATTCACCCACTTAGCATTATCAACTTAATTTTCAAACTAGTGTTTTTTTTTTTTTTCTTCTTCTTCTTCATTTATACAAGTAATTAGAGTATATGGTAGAAATTCAACGGATGCACTAGGCTAAAAATGAGACTTAATTATTTTAAAATCTTTTTTCCATTTTGAGCATTCAGTGATTCTAGGAAGAGGTTATTTGATCTGTTTTATTTTTCTCACTTACCAGCTAAGACTGGATACTAAGCATTTTGCTCTCCCCCCTCCCTTCCCTTCCTTGCACTGTGCATAGAGACTATATTGGGTATTCAAGAGTGATTTGGTGATACTATGGTGGGATAAATGACCACTGAAGTAAGAGTCAGAAGACCTGGAATTGACCAGGTTTTTCATTGTACCAGCTTTGTGAATGACTAGCGGACTGATCTTGAACAAGTCATTTTATTTATGTGGACATTGTTTTCTATGTTTTGCAAAGGCAGGGAAGAGACTTGTAAGGAAAAGTCTCAAAATCTCACTTTTTGGGACAAATTATAATGAGATAGCCTGTACCTCTTACTGAATACCTTCTGTAGGACACTTGCTTTGATTGGTCACCGTGGTCAGAACACTGTGCCTGTGACTCCCCTCAGCCTCAGCACTTCTGAACTGACTGATGTTCTGCAAGCTACTTCAATGTGTTTGATCAAGGAGTTTGTTTTGTAAATGGAGGATAATGATGATCACTCTTTTTACAAACTAGGATAGTTCTGATGGTAAAATGAGAGAAAGAATTTAAAATACTTCTATCATCGTTATGACTACTTTTAATACTGTTTCTTAGAATTGTAGACAGCCTGAGAAAGGACCTTGGAATTCATCTACCACCTTTTAAAAGAGGAGAATCTGAGCCTGAAGGAGATTAACTGGTTTACTCAAGGTAACATGCTTCCCCTTAATCCTGACCCTGTTTTCAGTGTGGGGACTGAATGTTCTTTAGGGCAAAATTTAGAAGACAAGGACTGACTGTTGTGTGGGATAAATTGTGTATAGACCTCGCTATGACTTGTCCATAAGAGGTTCCTGGGTAAGGACAGGTGTAGCCCCTGGGATTGAACACTTCATGGTCACGCTTTTTGTTTAAACTGATGCACTGTAAAAGATGAACACCTGTCTCCTCTGGCCCTTGCATAGTCTATTTTACTATGGTCCCCTCAAGTCTCTTTCCAGGTAGACTTGAATGAGAAGGGGAGCTAGGTAGGCAAGAGAGAAAGAAAGCCCTGTTTTCTCCTACATTAGGCAAAACCAATGTTCTTGAATCCCTTGGCTTATGATCACAGAATCGTAGACCCCTTAAAGATTCATCTTTTAATTCTTTGGCCTTGGGCATAGACTATCTGACCCTTTAAAGACCAGAGGCTCGGTGTTGACTGTGAAGATCAAGGAGCCTGGTTGCTAGCCCATCCCCATGGTAATTCAATTCTATAGGGATTAGGAAGGTCCTACTTAGGTTCTTCCAGTTTTAAAGCCAGTAGTGCATAGAGACCCAGACAAAGAAGTAAGGTAGATACATGTGTGTTATAGAGTCAAAAAGATCTGAAGATGTGTGGAGGTAAACACTACGTAGTGGGGAATCTGGTACATAGCCTGGTGGGAAGTGTCCTGAGAACTTGTGCTATATTTGAGTGGTTCATGGCTGGCCAATAGGGTGGGGCTTCCCTTTACAGACACGTGGACCTCCTGACAAGTTCTTTAACCAGCACCTTCTTACTAGCCCCTCACAGCAATTCGATCTCAGGCTAGCACTGTGTTCTGTGTGTCAGGTTGTCAGAGTTGCGTAGGGTAGATGTGCTAAGAAAGGTCTATTCTGTGTTTCCTTGCTGTAAAATTATTATATGCACTATCAGTTTCACTTTTCTGAGCTCCTCTCTAGGTCCTCGATGGAAAGGAAGTTTGGTTGGAGAATCTGCTTTTCTTCAGATGTTAGAGTCTTCTCCTTGCATTCCAACCTGACTGAATCACTTTGGTCCTGTTCTCTCTCAGATCTCATTCTTGGGGCCATAAGGATGGGTGGGGAAGTGTGAGATATTGTGATTATAGTCATAGGGTTAGAAGGGCACTTAAAGATCTTTCAAATGAAGCTCTTCATATTGTCCTGTTGCTCTTCACTTGGCTGTCACCTCCTCTCACAACCTAGAAAGAACTATTTTGAGTTATGATTGAAGCCCACGGGTGGTGTCCAGAGCTGTGGGCCATAGAAGCACACACTGTGAAGAAAGAGGAGGGAGTCTGAGCCAGCTCTCTGCTGTTATTGTAATCTTTCGAGTGGGAGCACTGTGGTGAATACTGAATCAAAGTCTTTAAATTAATGCATTGTCATTGGGACATAGAGGCCAATTGTCCCTTTATGTATCTGGGAATCAAATAGGAAAAATAAATGAGCTGAAGGTGAGGTAAGAAGGACTTAGATTAGGCATTCAAAAGAAATGGATTAGTGGAACCTATAACCAACAGTAATTATGTATTTGTCTTCTCTAGGAAGCTTTTAAAAATAGGAATTTATTTATTTATTATTTATTTATTTATTTTTGATCTGGGCTGCTGCTCTTTATACAGTTGTGGGCAAAAGTAAGTTTACAGTTGTGAATACACAAAACACATAATTTATTCTTGTATTACTATTTATTACTTATTATATTATAGTAGTAAACCTACTTTTGCCCACTCCTGTGTATGGTTATGAAAGAATAGTCACTTTGATTTTCCTAGAGAGCCTCTAGCCAGCCCAGACAGCTGAGAAATCCTCATTCTGTAAATTAGGCAGCCTTGGGAAGAAGAATGACAGAGACTTGGAGCTAGGGAAGGTGGGGGAGGGGAGACAGGTATTCATAGGGGGCTGTGTGAGGACCATCTGTATTTCATTAGGGAGCTGCCACTCTCACCTTCCTTCCTATATGTAAGCGCTCTCTCTCTCTCTCTCTCTCTCTCTCTCTCTCTCTCACACACACACACACACACACACACACACGTACCACTGTTCTGCCTCCTCCATCCTTAATTCTAGTGAAGATACTGAAGGAACATCACATCAGACTCCCAGTAGCTCTTCCCCTGGCTGGACAAATACAGCTCTCAAAGCTGAGAACTGGACTAGTCTCCTGGAACCCAGCTTCCCTGCCAGCCTCTGCCGCTGTTCACACTGTTTCTTTACAGAAGCAACTCCTTTGTCTCAGGGATCCAGGGTTTTCCTGAATCCCCTAGCTATGCCCAGCCCCTCTCTGAGACTAGCTGAACTGGGATGGAACTACAGTGATGGGGAGGGGGTGGAGGTAGAGATGGCTTCTCCAGGCTCTGCTGGGCAGGGTGTGCTCTGCTTAGTTAGCATGAGAATAGACACGCTTTTTTCCTATCCTCTCTTAGGGATGGAGAGAAAAGGGCAGCACAGGCTCTAGCTCTGTCCTACTCTGTCAGAGATTCTGGGACTGGGAAAGTGACCATCCTCACATTCTTCCAATCCTCTGAGGACCCGAGGACCCTGCAATATTGAGAAAAGCTTTGATGGAGCCGGCTGGTAGATCTCCACTCCAGATTTTCCAGCTGTCCTTGTCCCCACACCGCTGAGAGAGCAGGATGCTGAGATGGCTCTGTGATGCAGAAGGTATGTGCTTTTTCAGTTCTGGTGCTGATGCTGTGTATGTGGTGAGGTCTCTGTGGCGCAATGGGCGAGCGCGCTGGACTTCTAATCCAGAGGTTCCGGGTTCGAGTCCCGGCAGAGATGATCACCTGGCAAGTTCCTCTTTTATTTTTTTATGCTGTCATGCTAGGTTCATAATTATATTTATCCCTCCCTGGAGGCTCTGGGACGGAGAAAGGAAACCCGTTTGCTTGGGAGTTTTGGACCTCCTCTCCTTTTCCTTTTCCTCCCTCTTCATTCTTTCTCTGCCTCTCCCCGGCTGTTTCTCATTGTTAGTGAAGGCTCAGATGTCTGCTGCCTCTCTCCTCAGCCTGAATGACACAGCCTTTGCATCCTTTCCTTCTCAGCACTGCTACAGCGACCGAGATGCCAGGCCGCTGGTTCTGGAACCACGATGGCTCTCTCCTTTTACTCCCAAAACACAAAAAGGCAGGTTGTTCCATATGCCAACGAGGAAATGTCTAGTTGTCCTCTAGGTAACACCTGACCTAGGCAGGTCAGGAGGTGCATGGGGTCATGCAGAGGATACTTTCTTCTGCTGTCTTTGTCAGTGATACCTTTGCGTTACTAGAGCTCTTTGTGTGAAAGCCCATCACTCCCTTCCTCATCGGCAGGCTGAGATGTAATCACTGCTCTTTGTTTCATTGGAATGAACAACACAGCAGCACACTAATTACCAGTGGCGGATGAACTCGTCTCCAGAAACCCAAAGGTCTTATACGTAAGTGCTCTTTACTGTGAGAAGTTTTCAGCTTTTCCTGTTGGCAGGGCAAGCTTTGAGGGTTGCATCTCAATGCTATTTTTATAACTCCCGGTTTCCAGCAAGCCACCTTCTCACTGCCTCTCTCAGTCCGCATTCACTTCTGCTCTTTTCTTCTGTCTCACCTTCAGCAAGATTGGGAGAGAACTTGGGTTTCTATTTTGGGCTGGTCTGGCTCCTGGCTCCCTTGTATATGGCAGCCTCCAGCCTGTTAGCTAGAGGGTAGCCCCGAGCCAGGAACTGACCTCCACCTCCCGTGAACCCAGGAAACCTGAGAAGACCTATCTCTCCTCTTACTGCTCGAGTCAACATCTTTCCCACGTGAGGCTCTTGAGGGGTGACCAGAGGACACATTTTAGCCACATTCGGCTCCGAGGAAGCTGGGGTAGAGTGAAGGGGAAGAGTCCACACACAATTTAAGCACACCAACACCAAGAGGTGGGAGTTGATAGAGTAGACAGAACTCTGGAGGGAGGGAGACTGATGCTGTTTGCCTTTTGGACATGTGTAGCAAACTGAAACTCCTGAAATTCTTTTGAAGTAAAGCAGTACTTAAAAGGACTTATAATTCTTGCACTAAGAGCCCACAGAGATTTTCCTCTCTGAGTTACCTTGGTGGAATGCCAATTCAGATATTAACTACCCCTGTCAGTCCCATGGACATGCCCTTTGGAGGGTGCTCTGTGGACCAGAATTCCTGTGCAGACCCTCTGGAGCCTGTCTTTCATTCTTAGCTCAGCATCCTGGGGTAGGGAACATCTGGCCTGCGGGTCATATAAGGCCCGCAAAATCAGTGCCAGCTAACATCACACGCTTTACCAAATTAGCTTGACCAAATATAGCAGGCTAATTTTTAAGTTGATAATTGTGTATGGCCCATGAATGATGTTATAAATATCCAAATGGCCCTTGGCAGAAAAAAGGTTCCCCATCCCTGCAAGCTTTGTCCTGAAAACAAAAATTGGTGTGTGTGGAGGGGACAGGGCATGGGAATGGGGATAGGGGTGAGGTAGGGAGTGTAGAGAAGGGGCCTGTTCTATTTTTCAACCACATCCAGAATTCTTCATCTTTCAAGTTCCTCTTGCATTAGTAGATAGCAACAGTAATGAGAAGTGAGGAAGTTGTTCTTCTGTCACTCTTCATGGTTGGGGCAAAATCTAGGTTCATTATGGCCCACATTAGGGTTTGTTCAATTTTAGAAGCTTTCTAGGAATAAAGACTTCATGCAGTGGTGGAGGCTAGTAGTGGGAGTTGGGAACTGGGAGGGGATGTGTACCCAAGGAGACACCAAACTCCTGCTTGTTCAAATGTTTTATCAGGGTTCATTGCAGCCAGCTCCTTAGGTAAAATTCTATGTCAGTGAGAATGAAAACCCACAAGACAATCCCTCAAACCTTGTTTTAGTCCTTTTCATTTTCAGCGAGGAAGCAGAAGACCTTGGTTCAAGTTGCAGTTTTGCCAAGTTGCTAAACCTCTCTAAACTTTAATTTGCTTATTTATATTAACTATTTTCCAAATGTGAAAATGAATGAGAAAGTTTGCTGTGCAGCTCTGTACAGACAGATTGGCTATGTTCATGTTCTAGTGGCTTTTGTCTTTCTCCTCAGCTTGTAAGAAAGGTATATGGCCACAAAGAGGGGAATAAAAGCATCTGAATAGTCAGCCGCTGCCTGGAGCATCCAGGGTGACAGCATACCTTCAGCTGGGGCTGCTGTGGCCTTGAGCCGCCCTAAGAAAGAGGATAGATTGGACTTTACCATCTGGTGTAGCCCTTCCGAGGGCAGATGGTCCCTCTGTGCTTAGGCTGAGGGCTTCATTTCAGCAGATAGGCCGAGGTCCCTGCTAGCTTTACTACTAAAGGGAACTAGAAGCTTACACCTACTCCAACATCACCCAGCCTTCAACCTCCTCAGTCTCTGAGGGTTGCTGCTTTGGGAACTTGAAGAATATCATAAGACTGGGGGCAAGATTTTCCATATTGGTTAAAATTCCTCTATATGTGATAACAGCTTTATTTTTTTTTTTAATTTCTCCTTTTTTATTTTAAATTATCTTTATTGTTGAGAGTATAACAGATGTGTCCCCTTTCCCCCTCCGCCCTGCTCCCACCCCTCACTCAGGACTTCACTGCACTGTTGTCTGTGTCCATTGGTTATGCATGTATGGGAGGGGCGGGAAGAGATTAATCAAAGAATTTATATGCACAACAGTTTTATTCTTAATACTATGAGATAACACATAATTTGTGATTATAATAACTGCATTTTAAAGATTGGATATAAAATAGAAATGAGTAGACTTTTATAAAGTTACTTCACTGTAGAACTCAGTGCTTCACAGGTTTAGAGCTGGTCATTAGGTCCAAAGTATTGCCAGTCGGATGTATCTTATTCATTATTGTATCTCTGCCCGAAATATGGTAGGCATTTGATCGATATATTTGAAAGAATTGATGCTGACTTAGATTGGCTCTAAATTATGTATACAGGAAAGAGAACGAGATGTAGCTCCTAGAGATCACAAACACAGGCAACTTCTTCATGCATTCATTAATTTGCTTTACAAATATTCATCAAATGCCCATTTTTGTAGCACTTTCCATGTTTCAGGCTCTGAGATCCAAAACAGCAGTAGTCTCCATGTCACGGAATGCATATTCTGATGGTAGAGACAAAAAATAGATAGGTAAATGACATTAAAATAGAATTGTAAGTAGAGATACACTAGGCTCCTTTTATCCAGGGTTTTATACTTTCCTCAGTTTCAGGTTTCTGCGATTAACCACAGTCCAAAAATATTAGATGAAAAATTCCGGAAATAACCAATTCATACATTTTAAATTGCATGCCAATTCTGAGCAGTGTGATGAAATCTCAAGCCATCCCACTCCATTCTGCCCATGACCCGAGTCATCCCATTGTTCGGCATATCCATGCTTTAAACACTAGCCTCCCATTAGTCACTGAGCAGTTGTCTTAGTTATCAGATCGGCTGTCATGGTATTACAGCGTTTGCGTTCTAGTAGCCCTTATTGTACTTAGCTCCAAATCCACTTCCACAACTTTTATTACAGTATATTGTTATAATTGTTCTATTTTATTATTAGTTATTATTGTTAATGTCTTACTGTGCCTAATTTTAAAGTAAACTTTATTATAAATATGTATGTATAGGGAAAAAAACCTGTACATATAGGGTTTGGTATTATCCATGGTTTCAGGCATCCACTGGGGACCTTAGAATGTATCCCCTATGGATGAGAGGACCACTGTACATGCTGGAGGAACTTGATTGATACCAAAAGTTAGAGCAATGTAAAGCATGGTTGTCACAGAAGACCTCTCACAGGAGATAACATTTGAGTGAAGAATGAATGAAGCAAGTGAGATCAATGAGATCTAGAGAATGGGCACTTCAAACAGAGAATCAACAAGAACAGAGACCCCGAGGTAGGCACAGGCTTGGTGGCTTTGAGGGAAAGCACAAACGTCAATGAGGTTGGAATGGAGGGATCGATGGGGTGAGTTAGTTTCGGAGATTAATAGGGGCATGTCATATAGGACAATGTTCTCAACTCTATCACATCTAAAAGTGCCTTGTATCATAAGTCCAGTATTTTCTCACTTCTTTACCATCCCACAATACAATTCACAGGTAATTAATCTAAGCTTCCTACACATATAATTAAAAAAATAAAATAATATTTTCATTGTAATATGAGAGAAATAAAAGTAAATAAGTTTGTAATAAATAATATGTATTTTAATATGTAAATGCCACACTAACAGTCTTATAACTATATGACTTACTTTCAATGCAACAGATTATATTTGTATTTGTATTTATATTTATGCTAGCATGTTATATTTCTGACAAATATCCTAAAGCATGTCATTCACCATCAATGTTATAATTTTCCAAACTACTGAGTATTTCTTGATAAATTTATGATAAAAACGAATGAACTTTTCTTGCAAAATACAATGTATTTTGCATTTCTGGATATTTAAGGAAGTTTTAAACCATGCAGAAAACTCTCTACATTTATATATATTAAAATGAGTTGGATTCTAGGCTCACATGCTAATAACTAGGTTTTTAGAAGGTCGTTCAAAATAAATACACAACATAAGGCAAGTATTCTTTGTGTACAATGCACCGGTACATTGCAGGATCCAAGCTACCCTTCCTCTCTTCAGCTAATGCCAGTCCCCAGTCATTGTGAAGACAAAAACCACTTCATCAGATTTGCAAACCACTTTCTAAGGGCAATTCCACATCCACTGGCAAGTGATGACATCAGACTTCTAGGTCAGGCCTTCCTACATGTTAATGAAAACCATCGGTGGGTTTGAGCAGAGAGAAAGAATGTGATTTATGTGTTAAAAGGCTGTTGGTAGAGAATAGGCTTGGTTAGAGACAGGAGCGGGTTTGAAGATTTGCTGGACTCAAAACCTTTTAGGAACAGCAGAGAGAGGTACATGGTTCCCGAGTGACTCTGGTACCACGAGAAGTGCAAGGTTTTCTAGCAATGCACAGCTACAAAAGTGATCGACTGTCTCTGGAGGGCTGACCTAGCATGGGTCATTTATACCTGCCTGGGAAGCAATGATTTTTATTCATTGTCATTACAGTGGTTGTTAGCTACTAGCAAAAACATTTATTTTGTTTGTATTTAAAAGCCATAGCAAAAGGAACTTATTGCTCCGAATACTATTTCAGTGTTTATGTACTTAGTAGTCCCAATAAATTATCATGGAACAGAATGTCTCGACTTCTCTGTGTCCTCCTTGGAACTTGGATCTTTTGCTTTTGCAATAGTAATGTTCTGCAATGGTTCTGTTGAGAAGACAAATGGTGAGACAGGGAGTATTATGATGAGAGAAGCTGAAAGCATGAGCTTCATGGAAAATGCAACTGTGTGGGAATGACACTGGCCTGGGTCTCCATCTGAGGCCTTGCTATTGACTTGTTGTGCAACAGGGCACACAGTACGTCTCTTGAACCTTGATTTCCTCATGTAGAAAATGAGCCAATATAATAATGTTGAACATTAAATAAGGTAAGTGTAAAAGTATCTATGTAGTTACATACATGGTGGGTGCAAAAACAATGCTGTGGTTATGAACAGTTCTTTCAAACATTCTTCTTCAGATGGCATGCATCAAGTTAGTTTCTTGTAGATTGTGGGTTTGGGGACTTAGCCATGGACCTCATTTTTTTTTTTTTTTTTTTGTGTCCCTTGAAAGTGCTTGGGTAAAGTGCAGTGTTAAGAGGAAAAAAAAATGCATAGTGTTTTTGATAGGAGTTACCCTCCAAGATAACTTTCTCTCCTCAGTGGTAATGGTGGGAGCCCTGAATTTCTCTCTAGGGCTATGGGCATAGAAACTTTGCAGCAATCCTTAGTACAGCCCTGGGAACAGGTTTTACAGGCCTTGTAGAGAGGATCACACGAAGCCTCTTCAGCAGGGAGCAATGCAGGACTTTAAAGCCAAGGATGAAGGCAAGTGGATCTATTGGGAGAAGTTAGGTAGGTGTCTCAGGAGGTGGAATTAGACTAAAAACAAATTCGTGAGGAGCTTGGAGGAGAGAGGAGACAAGATTTCAGCTGCTGTGTTCCTAGTAAAGGCCCTTTCTGGGCATCTTCCCTGCCAAGGTCCAAACTCGGTCCCGTGTCTCAGAGAGGCATCTTCTGGGAATCACCTACAATCCTTAATAATCTTTTCTTCATTTTGCTCCATCTATAGGCCACTTTTGAGGCAGGAAATGGTGTCATTCAAAATAGCAGGCACTTTAGAACCAATTATGTTTATGCTTATTTTAAATGTGAAGTTATTTCTTTTCTAATTATGTACAAACTTCTAACGGTGCTTTTTAATTGTTTGTACTTAAGTCTGCCGCTAAAAGGAGGATTGCTTGCCCTGAGGTGTCAAGAAGCAGAATCTACAGTGGCCTTTGCCAAGTAAAACATTTATTTGAAGTCTTATACTTTGTGCTACATTCTAGTAAACATTTTGCGTTCTACTTCATTGTACCTGCATTTTTCTAAGTATAAAAATTATTATCTGGCCCCAAATCTCATAATAAAAGTGATCCCTGGCATGTTCCACCTAGGGGTGCCTGGCACACCCTAGTTATAAAAGCCCAGAAATAATACCATATGATCTCACTTATTTGTAGAATATAATGAATAAATAAGCTGATGAACAAAATAGACCCAGAGACATAGAAAGGAGTGTGGTTCAGAGTGACAAACTTCGGAGGGGAGGGAAAGGGAAGAGATAAACCAAAGAACTTACATGCATGTATGTGTAACCAATAGACATAGACAACAATGCTTGGGGGTGGGGGCGGGGCAGGACAGGGAGAAGGATGTCGGGGGGTTGGGAGAAGAAACATCTGTAACAAAAATTAATTAAAAAAATGTATAAATAAATAAAAAGTAAAAAAAAAAAAAAATCACAGAAATAGATTAGTGTTAAAAATGATCCCGGAGTATCCACCCAAAGATGAAAGGGAGATAGTTCAGAGACAGGTTAAGCTGTGAGAAACCTGGCAGGGAAGAAACATTAGTTTATTTATCCAACAAATATTTATTTCGTACCTACTATGTAAAAAACATTGAACTAGGTACTAGAATACAATGATGAACAAAATGAGACAAAAATGATCAGACAAATATTGCAAAACTTTTTGCATATTGCAAAATATGCAAAATTGCAACTGCAAATGAAAGAGAGGTTTATGAGCAAATAAAGTTTATGGTGGGGAGCTGACCTCTTTAGAGAGGCTGGGGAAAGCTTCTTCCAGGAAGTGTCTCTTGACTTGAGTCAAGATCAAGTAGAAGGATCAGTAGAAAATCACGAGACAAAGAATGAAAGAAGGAGCTTTCCAGACAGAAACAGGGAGCACAAAGGTCTTGTGTTGGGAGGGAGAGGAAAGGGCTGAAAAGTAAGTATGGTTTGACGACAGAGAATAAGGCAGATGGGGTGGGGAGAAATGAAGTTGGAGAGAGAGACAGGAGGCTCACTCCACAGGGCCTTGTAGGAACTGTAGGGGGCTTTGCCCTTAACAAACAAGAAAAAAAAATCACTGGAGGATTTTGAGCCAGAGAATAACATGATTAGATTTGCATTTTAGAAAGCTTACTCCAGCTGCTGCTCAGAGAACAGAGAGGAAGGATGCCAGCATAGAGCTGGGACCGAGTTAGCAGTTACTGCCAGTAGTTGTTGTGAGAAGGGATGTTAGCTTGGGTTAGGGGGATGATAACGATGGTGGTGGTGGTCATGGTGGAGAGAGAAGATGGGTTTTGGAGATCTTTGTGAGCTACAATGTGCAGGATTTGGTGATGGATTAGAAATTGTAGAAAGAGGAAGGCGTTGTCAAGGATGGAGCCAAGATTTCTGGCTTGCATACCATGGACCAAGATGGGAAACACCAGAAGATGACCAGGTTTGGGGGAGAAAAGGGTGAGTTTTGAGCTTCAAATATAAGGTGCCTTTGAGATATCCGAGAGAAGAGGTCAAGTATGTATGAAGTTGAAAGCTGGCTCAGGGACTGAACTGACCGTTTGATTTGAGGAGTCCTCTGCATGTTGATGGAATTAGAAGCCATAAGTAGGAATGAGATCACCTAGGAAAACATGTAGAGTGAGAAGGCGGCTTAAAAACGAACAAAGAAGAACCTCAAGATAGCAGAGTAGAGAAGGAGTTAGAAAAGCAGTGGCCAAGAGGTAGGAGGGAAGCCAGGATATTACCACTTGCAAAGCCACAGGAAGGGAGTGTTCAAGAAGGACCTTGGTTGGGCACCAGATGCTACTGAGAAGTCAAGAATGCTTATAACTAAAATATATACATTAGATTAAGTGATATGGAATTTAGTGATGGCCATCGTTTCCATTTCTGTGGAGTAGAAACTAGGCTCCAGTGGACTGCAGAGGGTATGGGAGGTGAGATCATTGGAGAAACGCCAATAGGCAACCATTAGAAGTTTGGCTGAGAAGACATGAGGAAAAGGAGGTGATCTGGAAGGCATGAGGAGGCAAACAAAATTTTTTTTTTCTTTTTTAAAAACCTTTAATTATGGAAAGTTTTAAACATCAATAAAATTAAACAGAATAGTATTATGAACCCACATCACCCAGTTTCCACAATTAACTCATCGTCAAACTTGTAACCTCTAACCATTTTTTTTTTTTTTTTGCTTTTTTTATGGAAGAGACTTGATCTAATTTGAAAGCTACTGGGAAGAAAATCATTGAGAAGGGGAGTATAAATATTCAAGAGGGAAACAAAAAATTAGGCATACATGATAGCCCAGGTTTCTGAGAAGGAGGAAGAACAGGAACGGGGTATAGGTGAAAAGGTTAATTTAGGAAACTAGAGAGCCAGCCTCTTTATTGCTATAGGAGGGAAAGCAGGTGAGATGTAAATTTACATGCTTAACATCTGGAAGATAAGAACATTTCACCTTTTGGTGGAGGTAGCTCTTCTTTGTCTTCCTTCCCCTTTTGCTTCTCCTTCTTTTAAATTAAGTGGCCATGTCATCTTCAGACAATTACTGAGAAAAAGAGGATGTTGGATGTTTGAAGAGAACATAGAAAGTTGGATCAGTTATTGCGGAGAGAGAGAATAATATAGCAGAAAAATGTGGAATATTTACTAGACAGTGTTAAAGACCCATTTGGAGGAGATGGATTGGCTCTGAAAACCAGATTCAGTTCATATACATACATTACATCTGGCTTATTAATGTTTACCTTCATAATAGTGGTAACATAAAACAACATAATAGGATTGTTGTTACTCTATTCCATTCCCTAATGGAGGGATGTATCCATGCACATGTTTATGTGTGTTTTATAGTGGCCACGGATTCCACAATCTCCTGAGTGTGATCATAATGTATATCTCTCTCAAAAAGGAGGTGATTTTAATGCTTAAAATGTGAGTGAGTCGAAGAAGAGTACATTGCAACTTGTGTTTCACATTAATTGGTTTAGGGCTCCACCTGCTGGAAAGAACGCATGCTCAGCATGGCCAGCCAGATTTTTCCAATGCAAAATCTAAAACCTTTATTCTCTGAGAAGTCAGTGTTCTTACATAAAGCATTTCCCCCATGATTTGTGAGTTTCATTTTTAAGGTAATTTTAAAATGTCATTAGTGTATTAAAGCAGGAACATTAAAATGCGTTTTTTTCCTGACTTGATTTTGGTCAAAGATCATATCTATCCTATGTCAATGCATTTGTTATCTATAAACCTCATTGATGAAAGAAGAAGAATAAAATATTAGAATTATTTGAAATGGCACAAATAAGAAATAGATTATTAAACATGTAGAAATTATAGGTGATACAGAGATCAACTTTGTCCAGATTATTTACAGTCCTTTAAAATGTGATTTTGTTGTTCACCTGCTTCTGTTTCCAAATCTTCTCCTTTAGGTTCCTTAACTAAAATTTCTTTGTAGTCTCTAACCTGACCTTTCAGGAAACTAGTCTGCTATAAGTGATTTTTTTTTATAGTCTATTGTAACTTGAATGCAGTGTCCATTAAAACTTTTTTTCAAGGTTTCTAGGTCACACCACTAAACTGCTCCTAGTTTCTAGATTTTCATTAAAGAATTCCTTTCCTCCAAATTAACCTATTTTATAGAAAAGTTCAGGGATAGTAAATTACTTTAATGGCTTCCTCTTCTTTAATTCAGGCAATAACTCTTATTAATTATGGTCACTTTACATATACAAATCCCGTCATGATTCCTAGGGAATTTGGAGAAATGCCAGTATAAAATACTAAGTCATTCACAAAAAAAGCAGCAATGGTTCATTGACCCAATCAGTCTTATTAAGTGCACTCTCTGTGTCGGGAGTTTTGAGAGCATGGAGAGATAGGGAACAAGGCAGCCACTCGTACAGAGTTTGCTATACTGTGTGGAAAACAGACATTAATCAAGTCGTCCCAGCAAGTTCTGGTGAGTTATCTACTGGGGGAAGTGTTGAGAATGTTATGAAATATCTAGAAGCTAGAAAGTCACAGACAGCCTCTAGGAAGAAGTGTTATTAAACCACAAAAAAAGGGGAGGACAAAAAGATGCGAGGCAGGCTACGGGGCAGAAGCCTGATGCTGAAAGCCAGATTGTGGAGGGGCTGTTGAAACTTTTTAAAGAGTTTGGATGTCATTCTAAGAGCAATTACCAAATTAACAACCAAGAAAATATTTTCAATGTGTGTGTCTATGTGGCAGGAGGTTGGGTAGGTGGTGGTGCCCATACTCAGACTTACATTCTGGAAACATTATTCTAGCTGAAATTTGGAGAAAGGCAGGAGGGAAGCCAGATTGAACATTGGTTAAAGGTGTGTGTGTGTGTGTGTGTGTGTGTGTGTGTGTGTGTGTGTGAGAGAGAGAGAGAGAGAGAGAGAGAGAGAGGTCACGTTGGCTTATTTTCCACCAAGAAGGAGAGAAGTAAATTAATCGAGGAGATATCTAAGATGTTGAATGGAGACGACTTGGTGGAAATTGGTTGTATGACGTAAATAAAAGAGAAGACTCTTTTTGTCTTAAGCAATTAGGTGAATGGAAGTATCATTTCATGAGACAGGGAGTATTGGAAAGGTAGATTCTCAAGATGGCCAGGGAAGCTGGGTATTTTCCCTTCAGACATGTTGAAATTGAGATGTTAAAGTGTATAGGTATGTATGTCTAGTGAACATTTAGATATATGAACTGGGAACTCTGAGGGAAAATCAGGGCCAGAGATACAAATTAGGAATGATCAATCTGTTGAGAGTAAATTGCTGTTTTGGGGGTGGTTGATATCATAGAATGTAGAGTGAGAAAAGAAGAATAACGAAGAAGGAACCCCGAGGAACCCATCATTTAAAGATTTGTTAGAGAAGATAGAAGCCAACAAATAAGACCTGTCAGGAAGATTGGAAGAAAGCCAAGAGGGCAGCAGCCAGAGCCCATGAAAAGCTTTTCCAACAGGAAGAACATGTGCAACAGTGTCAAATGTCGCTCATAGGCCTAATATTTTCTTTAGGATTTAGTAGTATGTGGTCTCATCAAGTGCAGTTCTGGTGGAGGGACAGAGTCTATTTCAGTGTGTAGGGGTGAGGAAGTGGAGGCACTGAATGCATTAAATTAAAATATTGTGAAAAAGACTTCAGGGAGGCGGTGGGAGTTGAAGGGAGAGGTCTGATTAAAGGAGTGACATTTGTTTTTGGAAAGAAAATGGTTGAGAATGTTTAAATGCTTAAGAAAATTATCCCATAAAAGAAAAAGAAAAAAAAAAAAGGCTGAAAGATTAAGAGAGAGAGTAGTCAGTAGATAATTTAGTCCTTGAGGATGTAGCCAGAGATGATGATGATGATGATGATGATGATGATAATTTATTGCGCTCTTCTTTGTTTAGGAACTACTCTAAAAGCATTATCTCATTTAACGTTTACACAGTTTCTCTGAGAGAGGTGCTATTATTATCATCCCATTTTTAAAGATAAAATTACTGAGGCACAGGCAGGTACTGTGGGTAACCAAGCTCATATGGGAAATCATGGAGCGAAGGTTCATACCCAGGCATTTCACTTGAAAATTGTACCCTTAATCACAGGTCTTATTGTGGGACCCCCAGCCTAGCTGAAGATGTAAGTAGGAGGCACACACCCTTGCTATTGCAATGGAAGAGAAGGGGAACAGGGCAGGAGTGGATGTAGGTAAGTGTTAGTGTGGCTAGCATTTTTAGTTTCCTGTGGCTACCATAACAAATTACCTCAAACTGGGTGGCTTAAAAACAACATAAATGTATTCTCTCACAGTGTTGGAAGCCAGAAGTCCAAAATTAAGGCACCATTAAGTTCTCACTGCCTCTGAAAGAGCTGCATACCTCCAATCTCTGCCTGTCTTTACACTGCTGGCTTCTCTGTATCTCAAATCTCTCTCTACCTTTCTTTTCTACCTGCCATTGGATTTAGGGCTCATTCTAGATCCAGGATGATCTCATCTTGAGAACCTTAACTTAATTAATTAAATCTACAAAGAATATTTTTCCAAATAGGGTCACATTCACAAGTTTTGAGGGCTAGGATCTAGACATAACTTTTGGAGGCCATTATTCAACCCACTATAGTTAGAAAGTTGAGGGATTTCCTGTCCAGTGGATTCTATATCTTCTGTGAAGTAGGAATGTGAGTCATTTTTTCTGAGGGTGAGCTCAGATGAAGAGGAGTCAAATGTCTGAGTAGTTGAAGAAATATTGAAGTAATTACTATTGAAATTTGGAGTTAGCTGAGTAGGAAACAGTATGTTTGTGGAGTGGTGTGGAAAAACCAGATAAAGGTGTGTTATCATTAATTTACTGTCGTGTAATTTTTTTTTCTAGCAGCAATTAGCAGCCTGTGTACAAACATGGAGAAAGCTAACAATTGAAGTGACCCAAGTTAAATCCCAGAGGGAGGGAACATGGATGTGAAGGAAGGATAGAGACACAAGCGGTTTTAGGACACTAGCAAGTGGTGGTTTTCTATAGGCCACAGAAGTAAAGCTAGGTATGCATAGAAGTGAGGTCAGAAGGGTGACTATTGGCTGGGTCATAAAGCAGGCAAAACACAGGGAGCAATTTAGTGAACTAACTGTAATCATATATAGTTAATCTCAGAGTATGAAATATTGGTTTGTATTATTTCACATGAGGGAATGAATCTGGTTTCAGTAGACACAAAGAGAAGGTTAATAGAGATGGAAAAGTCAAAGAAAGGATTCTGGAGAGGCTACACATGTGGACACAGAGACACACAGGAAAATGGCAGGATCTGAATGGAGAATGCTGCTAATGGTGTGGTGTTTGACCTCTAGAACTGTTTGCAGTTGGAGAAGGCTGTTGAGGGAAGGTGTGGCTCCCTTGGAATGACATTCAAGGAATGTGTTAATTAAAATTTTTCAAAGAGAGATTCCAAGATGGCAGTGGATTGAATGGGAGCTACACTGATCTTCTCCCAGGACCAAACTGGAATTACAAATAAAATATAGAAATATAATCCTGAATAACAAACTAAAGATGAGCTGGAAAGAACCTTTAAAACCAAGGATGTAAAGAGGAGGCCACATTGAGACTGGTAGGAAGTGTATATGTGCAAGAAAGCTGCCTGGGCTCCCACAGGCAGCAACTGGAGTTTTGGAACGATATCTCAGCTGTGTGTTTGTGGGGAGTTCCCCTTGAGAACCCCAAGCTGGGCTTCTCAGCTGGGAGTAACAGAACTGAAAAAGGTACCCACATAACATCTGACTGTGAAAAGCACTGGGGGCTAGAAAAAAATGCACCCTCTTAAAGGGTCAACACACCAAATTTCATTTGCAGCCACTCACCTTGAGCTTCAGCAGAGGGAGGGCAGAGTGGATAAAAGCTATATGAAGAGAATATGGGGTTGGCGGCTCTGGGGAGAGAGCTGGGAGGACAGTCACCAGGATTCCTGTGCTGAGTCCTGTCCCCATGCTGCAGAAAGCCATCTTTCTCAGCCAGAGCTTTTTCATTAATGCAACTTTAGCCTGGGGAAAAGGAATTGCCCCACCTACTGGAAACCCTTTCACCTCTTTTTGTGGTGAGGACTACAGCCTGAGGTCATTAAATAACCGATACTAATAGCCTGAGGCAGAGGCAAATCTCTGGGTGATTTGAGTCTTTGCCTGACTTGTTCCTGGGCCTGCGGATAGTAAAAACAGACTTTAGTGCTCAGCTTGGTGCTTTCCACATTCACACAGCCCCCACAGAGAGAGCCACAAGCTGTGGATCACTGATAGCTCTAAACAGTGTACTCAGGGACAGTCATAAGGAGCATTTGACATTGGCCTGCACCAGAAACCCCCCCAAAGAGGTCCAAACCAATAACCCAGTGGCCAGCTTCAGACAACAGCAAAGCAGGATCCAATCAGCTTCACCAGCAGTATATCCAGGGAGATATTGGCAGGCTCCAAACTCCGCTGTGGCAAATTCTGCCTCATGTGACTTGTACAGCAGCCTGCATGCTGTGTTGGGCATTGAACCTCCCTTCCAGCCATCCTGAGGGTTGATTCCATGCACAAATGGGCCAATAGCAATCAAGACTTAATTACAACAGGAGGGACCACACAATGCTCACAAGGGATATTATTAGAGCACCTAGGTCTGATGATCAGGAAGATTGTGTCACTGGGTCCCAAAGGTCACCTACTGCATAAGGACACACTACCAAGACTGGGAGTCATAGATGTCCCTAATGCATAGAAACAAACCCAAACAGGCAGCTAAAATGGAAAAAAAACAACAACAAAAAACAAAAATCAAGCCTCAAAGGAAAGAACAGGAGAATTCTTCAGAAGAAGAGCTAAATAAAATGGAGATAAGCAATTTATCAGATACAGAGTTCAGAGTAATGATTATAAGGATGCTCAATGGTATGAAAAAAGACAGAAACTATGAAAAACAACCAGTTGATGTAGAAGAATGACATAGCAGAAATAAACAATACACTAGAAGGAATAAACAGCTGATTAGAGGAAGCCAGAGATCAAATCAGTAAATTAGAAGCCCAGGTAGAAAAAAACCACTCAATCACAGAACCAAAATGAAGAAACAGGAGGACAAATTAAGGGAGCTGTGGGACAGCATAAAATGTGTTAATACCTGCGTTACAGGCATTCCAGAAGGAGAAGAAAGTGGGCAAGGGGTATGAAGAAATAACGGCAGAAAACTTCTTCAGCTTGGTGAAGGAAAATGTCACATAAGTTTAGGAAGCACAGAGAGTCCCAAGTAGGAAGAACCCAAAAAAGTCCATGCCAAGATATATTATAATTAAAATGTCAAAAATTACACAAAAAGAGAATCTTAAAGCAGCAAAAGATAAGAAATTTGCTACCTATAAAGGAGCTCACATAAGGCTGTCAGCTGATTTCTCAACAGAAACATTACAGGCCAGAGGTAATGGCAGGAATCATTCAAGGTAATGAAAAACAATGTTCTGAAACCAAGACTACTCTACCCAACAAAGCTATCATTTAAAATAGAAGGTGAAGTAAATAAGTTTTCAGGCACACACACACACACACACACACACACACACACACACAAGAGTATTACCACCAAACCAGTATTGCAAGAAATATTGAAAGGACTGCTATAATAATAAGAAATATACACATAGAGAAACATAGTTGTAAAGAACAAAAATGGCTAAAAACAAGTACTTTTCAATAATAGTTTTAAATGTAGATGGATTAAATGTTCCAATCAAAAGATATAGGGGAGCTGAATGGATAAGAAAATATGTCCCATATATATGCTGTCTACAAGAGACTCACCTCAGAACATAAGACACACAGGATGAAAGTGAAGGGATGGGAAAAACTTTTCCATACAATTGGAAATCAAAAAAAGCAGGGATAGCAATACTTACATCTGACAAAATAGACTTCAAAGCAAAGTCTATAACAAGAGATTAAGAAGATCACTACATAATACTAAAAGGATTGTCCCAACAATCCTTTGGTAAACATATATGCAGCCAAAATAGGATCACCTAAATATATTTATTTTTTAAAAACCAAAACTCTTGGAGGACTTCGAGGGAGAGATTGACAGCAATACCATCATAGTAGAAAAGGTTAACACCCCCACTGACATCACTGGATAAATCTCCAGACAAAAAAATCAACAAGGAAACAGTGACCCTAATGACACACTAGATCAGATTGATTTAATTGATATTTACAGAGCATTTTATACCAAATCTGAAGAATATATATTCTTTTGAAGTGCACATGGGACATTCTCAAAGATAGACCACATGTTAGGACACAAACATACAATCTTCCATAGTGAATTAAAAAAATTCGTAAAACCGGAATAAACCAGTAACATCTAATGAAATTGAAGCAATAATCAATAAACTCCCAGCAAACAAAAGTTCTAGACTGGACAGCTTCACAGGGGAGTTTTACCAAACATTCGAAGAACTATGGCCTATCCTTTTCAAACTTTTCTAAAAAATTCAAGAGGAAGGAAGACTTTCAAGCTCTTTTTATGAGGCCAGCATTATCCTAATTCCAGAACCAGATAAAGACACTACAAAGAAAGAGAATTCCGGCCAATATCCTTGATGAACATAGATGTAAAAATCTTCAACAAAATATTAACAAATCAGATCCAGCAATATGTTTAAAAGATTATTCACGATGACTAGGTGGAATTTATCCCAGGGATGCAAGGCTGGCACAATACTTGCAAATCAATACATGTGATACATCACACAAACAAAATGTAAGATAACAATAATCTAATCATATCAATAGATGCAGAAAAAGCATTCCACAAAATCCAGTGTTATTTTTTTATATAAAGACTCTCAGCAAAGTGGGAATAGAGGAAACATACCTCAACATAATAAAGTCATTATATGACAAACCTACAGCCAACATCAGACTCAATGGGCAACAACTAAAAATGTTTCCCTTAAGAACAAGAACAAACAGAGATATCCTCTTTTACCACTCTTATTCAACATAGTACTGAAGGTCTTAGCCACAGCAATCAGACAAAAAGGAAGAAATAAAATGCATCCAAATTAGACAGAGGAAGTGAAACTGTCATTATTTGCAGATGACATAGAAAACACTAAAGACTTCACCAAAAAACTTCTAGATTTAATAAATGGATTTGGCAAAGTACAGGATACACAGTTAACATCCAGAAATCAATGGCATTTTTATACATCAATAATGAACTATCAGAAAGGGAAACAAAAACAAAGTAAACAAAAAGCAATCCAATTTTACATTGCAACAAAAAATTATGACACTTAGGAATAAACTTAAGTAAGGAGGCAACAGATCTGTTCTCAGAAAACCACAGGACATTGAAAAAAAGAGCAAAGAAAGATACAAACAAGTGGAAGATAATTAGAAGAATGAACATCATTAAAATGTCCATACTACCCAAAACAATCTATATATTTAATGCAATTCCTATTAAAATACCAATGACATATATCAAAGATCTAGAACAAATACTTCAAAAAAGTATATGGAACCAAAAAAGACCTCAAATAGCTGCAGCAATCTTAAGAAAGAAGAACAAAGTAGGAGGGATCACAATACTGGACATCAAATTATACTACAAAGGCATTGTAAACAAAACTGCATGGTACCAGCATAAGAATAGGAATATACATCAGTGAAACAGAACAGAGGACCCAGAATTTGACCCAAGCCATTACACTCAATTAATATTTGATAAAGAAGGCTAGAGCATAAATGGAAAAAAGACAGTCTCTTCAATAAATGATGCTGGGAAAATTGGACAGGTATGTGCAAAAAATACAAATAGACTACCAACTTACATCATACACAGAATAAATTTAAAATAGATAAAAGAGTTAAATATAAGTATTGAAATAATAAAAATCTTTGAAGTAACCATAGGCAGCAAAATTTCAGACTTCTCACATAGCAGAATTTTTACCAATACATTGCCCAGGCCAAAGGAAACAAGGGAAAAATAAACAAATGGGACCACATCAAAATTAGAAAAAACTTCTGCACAACAAAGTAAAGCAGCAACAAATTGAAAAGGGATCCCACTGTATGGGAGAACATATTTGCCAATGATACATCTGATAAGGGGTTAATTCCCATAACATAAAAAACTCTTACAACTTTCCCAAAGAAAGACAAACAATCCAATTAAAAATTAAGCAAAGCTGTTCTGGTCGGTTTGGCTCAGCAGTTAGAACGTCGGCCTGTGGACCAATGAGTCTCAGGGTTGATTCCGGTCAAGGGCAGTTGCAGTTTTTCCCCAACCCTGGTCAGGTCGTGGGGGAGGCAACCAGTCCATGTGTCTCTCTCACATCGATGTTGCGCTCTCTCTATCCCCCTTTTCCTCCCCCTCTCCCTCTCTCTCTCTCTACCTCCCTCCCACTCTGATGATAAATGGAAAAATATTCTTGGGTAAGAATTAAAAAAAAAAAAAAAAAGGGCGAAGCTACTGTTAGTGGTGGTCAAGAGGTTCTCTGGCTTGAGATAGCCTCTGGCCAGAGACAGTACTCTGCACCCTCCATTCTTCTCTTGCTTGTAGGAATTAATTCAAACAAGAGATGCTAAGTAGCAGCAAAAGTGGACAAGGATTTATATATAGGGAAGACATACGCTCAGACAGAACCTGAGAGGGCAGCTCAACTGGCTGAGACTGAACTGAGTGCCCTGATATTTGGGTCTTCAGAGGCTTTATACCCCTAGGCTGGAATGCCCCTGGGCAAGGAACAAGTCACTCCCTCCCTCGTGTCTCAAAAAAACAAAACAAGACAATGTATCTTTAAGTTATAAGGCTCCTTCACCCAGTGCGATGCCACCAGTTAGACCACATCCTGCATGAGCTCTGAATCTTTCCTCCTCACACAGGGGTCTGCCACCTCCAGTGTCGACTTCCAGTTTGTCACATCTCACACATACTCCCTCCAAGCCCCAGCTGCCTCTCCCAGCTTATATCTTTCTGTCTACTCTAACAGCCCTACATAGACACTTCTCCAAAGAGGACATATAGGTGGCCAAGAGACATATGAAAAAATGCTCAAAGTTACTAATCATCAGAGAGACATAAATTAAAATCACAATGAGCCTCACAGCTGACAGAATGGTTACCATTGACAAAAAACAAGTGGTGGTGAGGATGTGGAGAAAAGAGAACCTAGCACACTGCTGGTAAGAATGAAGACTGGTGCAGCCACTATGGAAAACAGCATGGAGTTTCCTCAAAAATGTTATAACTATTATCTTCCATTTGACCCAGTGATTCCACTGCTAGGAATATATCCTAGGAATCCTAAAACGCCAATCAGATAGAATATATGTACCCTCTATGTTTATAGCAGTGTTATTTATAATAGCTAAGATCTAGAAATTGCCCAAGAACTCATCAGAAGATGAGTGGATAAAAAAGCTGGTACATTTACACAATGGAATACTATGCAGCAGTATAAAAAATGGATCTTGCCTGGCAGGTTTGGCTCAGCGGTTAGAGCGTCGGCCTGCAGTCCGGAGAGACCTGGGTTTGGTTCCCGCTAAGGGCACGTACCTCGGTTGCAGTTTGTCCGTGGCCCTGGTTGGTCGTGCGGGTGACAGCCACTCGATGTGTCCCTTTCACATCGATGTTTCTCTCTCTCTCTCTCTCCCTCCTGCTCTATCTGAACAAAGAATGAAAAAGTGTCCTCAGGTGAGGATAAAAAATAAAATAAAAAAATAAAAAATAAAATAAAATATGGATCTTTGTACCCTTTGAGACAGCATGGAGGAACCTGGAGAGTATTATGCTATAAAAAATAAGCCAGTCTGAGGAAGACAGGTATCACATGATCTCACTTATATGTGAAATCTAATAAATAAAATAGAACCAGAGACATGGAAGCATGGAACAGACTGACGAATGTCAAAGGCAAGGGGCGTGGGGGCAGTGGGAAGAGATTAACCAGAGAATTTATATGCATATTTGCATAACCCATGGACACAGACAATAGTGCAATGAAGGCCTGGGGGGTGGAAGTGGGGTGGGAATGGGGTGGGAGTGGGGTGGAAGGGCCAATGGGGGAAAAAGGGGGGGGGACAGCTGTAATACTTTCAAGAAGAAGAATAAATTTAAAAAATAGTCTTAAAAAGAGGAAAATGTCAGAAAAAAGTGATTTTCTAGAGAAACAGAGCCAATAAGTGTGTGTGTGTGTGTGTGTGTGTGTGTGTGTGTGGAGAGAGAGAGAGAGAGAGATTCTGTGTGAGGAATTAGCTCACACAATTATGGAGCCTGGGAAGTTGACACACAGGAGAGCAGATGCTATAGTTACAGTTAGAGTCCTAAGGCCTGAGAATCAAGAGAGTCAATGGTATAAGCTCCAGTCCAAGTCTAAATTTGAAGGCAGAAGACTGATGTCCTAGCTTGAAGAAAGATAGAAATAATTATTTCATGAACTTTTATTCTATTCAGGCCTTCCGTAGATTGGAGGAGGGCAGAACACATTAGAAGAGGCAATCTTCTTGACTCAGCCTGCACATGCAGGTGCTAATCTTATTCAGAGACACCCTCACAGAAGTGCCCAGAAGCAATGTTTGAGCAAGTATCTGTGTGCTCCATAGCCCAGTCAAGTTGACACATAAAATTAACCATCATAAACACTTGGATTATATAAATAGCCTTAATATAGTAATCTTCAGTCTCATTGATTATAAAATGAAGGGGTGAACAAGATTTCTAAAAGGTTCTTCTGCTTTTATTTATTTTATTTTATTTTTTTATCCTCACCCGAGGACATTTTTGCATTTATCTTCAGATAGAGCGGGAGAGGGAGAGAGAGAGCGAGGGAAACATCGATGTGAGAGAGACACATCGAGTGGTTGCCAGCCACACGACCCCAACCAGGGCTGGGGACAAACTGCAACAGAGGTATGTGCCCTTAGCACGAACCGAACCCGGGACTCTTCGGTCATGCTCTAACTGCTGAACCAAACCGGCCACGGCTGATTTTAACTCTTGTGTTTTAAAGCAGAATTCCTGGCCTTTAGTATGGAATAAAACAATGCATTAAAGTTCTTCTTAACTAGGTGTAAGTCAAAAATGATACCTGTGAATCCACAGATCTTAGAAACTGATTTTTATACACAGAATCTGGCTAATGTTCTCTACCTACCTGTTTTTTCTTTTTCTTTGTTTGTTTTCCAACCATAAAGGTTTTGATAGAACAACTTGAATCATACAACCAAGGAAACCTCTCTGTCATTAACACTGTTCGAAAACGTTCCTAGACACTGGGCCCTGGCTCTGGCGTGCTGGCTCTGTGTCTTCTCGGAGGATGGAGTGAGTGACATTGCAGCGATCACCTCTGAGGTGAGTTTGTCATTCAGGTTAATGTAGCAAACTTGCACTCAGAGAATGTACTCTAAGTTGTTACTTTTGCTTGAAATCTGGGCATTTTAAAGGTGGGTTGAAGGTGTCTTTTGTGTAGGTGTGCCTGAGATAAGGGCAGCACTTCCTGGGGGCGGAGGGTTGGGAGGAGATGACATTTTGAAGTGTGGCACGTGTCTAGTTTGGGGGTAAGGAAAGGGGAGTGTAGGTACAGCAGCGAGGGGAGTCCTTGGTCCAAGGACTTCCAGCTGGAGGAGTTAATTGGAGAAGATGAGGAAAGTCAGTGTCCTCAGATTGGTTCACTTTATCTTTAATCCACCTGGAATGCCCTTCCTCCATTTCTTCACCTGATTACTTAAAACAGCCCCCAAAGCACTAGACTCCTCTGTGTAGTCTTTCTAGACTTACCTTTCCACTCTCCCCTGTCTAGTTTAGGGGCCCTGCCTGTGTCTGCCTATAACACCCCATGTGTACCTCTGCCATGGCATTCACGTGTTATATTGACTTGTCTTTTATTTCTGCCTTCGGAACACAATGCCTGATACATGAGAGATGAAAACTTAATTTATTCTAAAGTAATTTTATTGTGACTTATGATGAGTTTGTCGTTATCTTGCTTCTGTCCCCATATTTAACGATCGTTTTATGCCAGTCACTGTGCTAGCAACTGGGAGAATAATGATAAACAAGACATATGGGGTCCTGACCCTCATGAAACATATTCATTCTGAATGTATTCATTCAGAAACTGGCAAAAAGGAAGGTAGCACAAAAAATAAATGGAGTGGCTACCATTCGTAATTAGTTTGTTATAAAGGGAGTAACTAAGAGACTGTGATAGAGACGGACAGGCATACCTGCTTTGGTAAAGAGGAGCAAGACGTCTTTCTCAGTTGATAATGAAATGAATACTTCAGGCAGTGAAAAGGGCAGCACTGAGTTAAATGTGGGTGAAGTACAATGAGTCTGGCAGCGTCCAGAGATCAGGAGTGAGATTACACAGAGATGTTGCCCCCTAGTTAGGAGTTCAGATCAGAGGACTTGGGAGAACTGTAAGGAGGCTCAGCAGTTACATCCTGAGTGAAGGAGAGAGCACTCTTAGCATATTGTAATGGCAGTAAAGACAGAGTAATGGAAGTTTGAAATTGTGTTTCAAAGATAAAAATTGTTCAGATTTGTTTATGATTTGGATGTGGTTGCTGAAGAAAATAAGAAATCAAGAATGTCCCTGACTTGAGCAATGGATTGTCATGTATGATTTGAAGAGATTTGGAAGAAGGAGAAAGAAACAGCCTCAAGAGAAAGTTAAGGGTTCCATTTACATTTGAGATGTGTATAAGTTATCCCAGAGTAGGTTCCGGGTGAGAAGCTTAATATAAGTTTCAAGCTCAGAGGAGCTCAGGGATGTTGCATGTAAAGATCATACATTGATCTGTGGGAATTGATGAGATCATTTAGAGAAACGGTATAGAGAGAAAAGCAAAGAGGGGCTCAGACAAGACCTTTGAATCTCCAGGATTTGAAATTTAGGTAAAGCAGGAGGAAGTATTAAAGAACACTGAGGAGAAATGGCCAGTAGGAGGGTGATTTTTGGAAGCAATGAAAAGAGGGCTTCAAAGGAGAGGGAGAGCTGTTGCTGAGTTTAGTAAGAGGAGGGTAGTGAAGTGTCCACTGAACATTGAGTAAGGTGGAGGGTGCTTTGGCAAGAACGGTTTCAGTGAGTGGTGAGGTTATAAACTAGATTACAGCAGGATATGAGTGAATGAGAGTTCAAGAGGTGGACATAGCATGTGTAAAGAGCTCTTTCAACAAATTTGGTTGTAGAGAGGAACAGAGAAATGGACCAGTAATGGTGGAGAGGTGTGGGTCAATGAAGAATTACTATTGTTGTTATGTTTTTTGTTTTAAATCTTTAAAAATTTATCTTTATTGTTGCAAGTATTACAGATCTCCCGTCCCCCCATCCCCATCCCCCTCCTGCTTTCCCCACACTGTTGTCTGTGTCCCTTGATTATGCATATATGCATATAAGTTCTTTGGTTTATCTCCCCCCCCACCCCCTTCCCTCTGAGGTTTGTCAGTTTAACAACCAATTTGTACTTCTCTTAATCCCTTCACCTTTTTAGCGAATTATGTTTTTATATCTGTGAAGATAATCAAGGATAGAGGGAGAAGTTCGAGGTTTAGAGAGGAAAGGGATAATGTCAGGTTTGAAATCCTCTAGAATCTAAGAAAAGATAGAGTCCAGAGCCCAAGGAGAAGAATGAGCTTTGATTGGAGGAATTTTCCCTTCCCTATTGTAACAGAGGAAAAAGATAGGATGAGTGGACATCAGTAGGTAGCTTTGTAGGTAAGAAGATGTGAGGTTTTACATTCAGTGACTTCTATTTTATCACTGAAAAGTGAGGTGAAACCATTAGCTAAGAATGAGTAAACAAGGAATTGGACCTAATCTGTTTCTGATGACAATTAAACTGCTTTTGCTTACCACTAAGATACTCAACCCCTCTCTTATGTGTCAGTACTCTTTGGTACTCCTTTTTGGCAATGGTGAATTTCTGTTCATCAGTGTGTGTGTGTGTGTGTGTGTGTGTGTGTGTGTGTTTTCCTGAAGATAGTTTGTTGTAGTAGTCAATAGTTTTTTAGTGAGATTCCAAATTCTGTATCAATAAGTACTCTCAAATCATGCTTTGGGGACAAGACTTAGTAAGGACTGTTGACTGTGAAGGGGGAAGAAGTGATTGCTGTAGTTTACAGAGGGATTTTTAAAGGCATTGGAGGGGACAAATGTATGGGAACGAGAGAATTTGTAAGAGCAGTGTAGAAAGAAAAGGAAGAATGGGAATGATTGATGGCGTTTTGCCATGGCTGCACAGTATATAACATTTTCATAAGACCTTTAATAGAATTCACATAATTAGTCAAGGCTGACTGGTGATCTTACTGGGCTCAAAATAGTGTGGAGTGATGCAGAAGCTACCCATGGTGCCCCGCGTACATTTGGATTACATTAATTGTTTTTATTGTGAAATAAGTTATTCATACCCAAGAGTATATAGAATGTATTTGAGCAGTTTAAAATCTATAATTAGAATCATAAAATAAACACTTAATTTCAATCAACCTTCTTAAAGTAAGAACATTGTCAGTTCCTCTGAAGACACTTGGGTGGCACTCCTCAACTGCAGTCCCCTCTCGGACCCCAGCAATAACCAACCAATCATCCCCTTAGCTTTCTTTACAGTTTTATCTCACAGTTAGCTATTCCTAATTAATGTCCCCTAGTTTTGTTTATTTTTAAACTTTATATAAATGGAAGCATATTTACTTGTGTTTTGTTTCCTCATTATTATATTTTTTGAGGTTCATCTAGGTTCTTAGAGGTATAGTAGTTTATGTTCATTGATGTATAGTGTTCCATGGTATGATTATAATACAAATTATTAATACATCCTACCTTTGAAGGACATATGCTTTGTTTTCAGGTTTTTCTATTGTAAACAATCTGCTAGAATATTTTTGTATCTCATAGTGTAAGAGTTTTCAGATTATATACTTGGGAATAAGGTTGCCAAATCATAGGTTATATTCCTAGTCACCTTCACTAAGGTATGCTTTATTGCTTTCCAATGTGATTCTACCAATTTTAGGTTGTATTTTCATTACTGATAATACTAGATACTTTGCACACCTGGAAGTAGAGATATTACCTGTCACCTTAAGAGATAGTCACAGTGCCAGAAATGGGTGGAGACTTTCAGGCCAGTGAAATTTTGGTAATACATTTCCTCTTTGTTACATTTTTTCCCTCCCTAACCCCTGTTCTCAGACAGAAATATCTGTATTCATGTGAAAGTGTTTAGGAGGCTTCCAGGAAGGCCGAGAATGTCAGAAAACGGCAGATTCAAGGTTAGAAGCAGAGAAGGAAGGGGGCATTCACTGCCACACATTTTTGAGAGTCTAGAATGTCCATCAAGCAATAGAAGGGAGGGGACTGACTTGCACATGCTGTGTTCAGAGTTTCTGGCCCCAGAGCTAAAATGTTTTTTGCACGTAGGAATTCCCATAGTCACGTTGTGAGAACTACAAGTTTTCTACTCCCTTCTCCCCAGAGGACATGGAAATGCATATTTAACTCTGTCTAAGCCTGGTCAGTGTTTCTTAGTGTTTGAGCATCGACCCATGCACCAAGAAGCCACCAGTTCTATTCCAGGTCAGGGCACATGCCCAGGTTGTGGACCTGATCCCCATTGTGGGGCAGGCAGGAGGCAGCCAATCGATGTTCTCTCTCATTGGTGTTTTATCTCTCTCTCCTTCTCCCTTCCTCTCTCTCTAAAATCAATAAAGAAAAAAACAAACAAACAAAAACTCTACCTAATACTCTGGTGTCCTGCCCCCATGCTTTCTGAAGTCAGACTACACCTTCTTCTTTCCCTCTAGACCTGTGTGTGTCACGACTCCTTTAGGGGTCGAATGATTCTTTCACAGGAGTCGCCTAAGACATAACAGTAGCAAAATTGCAGTTATGAAGTAGCAACAAAAATAATTTTATGGTTGGGGGTCACCACAACATGAGGAACTGTATTAAATGGTTGCGGCATTAGGAAGGTTGAGAACTACTGCTCTAGAGGGTCAGCCATGAGCCAATCACATTAGAAAAATAACCTCTAATCCTCATAGGATCCCTAACAATTAGATATTGTTCCAACTTGAAAGAAAAGAAAACTGAAGCCCAAGAGATGAGTAAGTGCCATCATTAGATGGCTTCTAGGTGACAGATCTGAGCGTCTAAGTCACATCTACATAATTTCATCTGTGCTCTTTCTCTTGGTATCTCTCCCTGTTCTTCTATTTTTTGCCTTGTCTTTTATAACCATGTGGCCCTGAACAAGTGTCTTATGATCCTTTCTGAGCTTTAGGATAAAAAGTACCAGTTCACAGAAGTTTAATAAAGCTTTATTAAAAATGAAAATTTCTATATGGACTTCTTAAATTCTAGTAAGAGCCATGCTCTGGGTTGGCCAAGGATCTTTCTCCCTCGACATTATTATTATTGTTGCTGTTGCTGTTACTGTTTTCATATTTGTCTCCTAAATCTGTTCTCACAGCTTTAGGCTAAGCATGTGAGTTTAACTCATTTTACAGCTAGTACATGCCTACAATTAAGTAGGTCTTGGCTATAGAGCTTGCTCTGGTATATTGTTGGTTGTTTGCTTTCATTCTGTTTTGCTGGCAGAGAGCATATTTTCCCTCCTAATAATCAGAGGTTTTAGCGGAGGCTTCCCCACAATATGCTGTTACAAACTTACATCCACGCTGGCTCTGATATTTGTCTCAGAGAAGTAGTCAAGCTTGGCAGTACAATCAGCATGCCAACATCCTGATAGCTGGGGACCCTGCTACCGTGGCCTTCCAGGCTCTTTACTTCTCCAGTCACAGGGGAATTGGAAGCAAAGCATGGAAGTATCATTCAAATATGGGGAAAATATTAAAACCAGCCTCAGTCTTGGTGTGGTTTGGGGAGATCCAGTTGCCTCCACAAAGGATGCACTGGGAGGTCAACCGTCCCAGCCCTTCTCCTGCACAACCTTCCTGCTGCCTTGCACGAAGGTGTTACCTCACCTGTTTTCTCCTCCTTTCCTGGAGAAAAGAGGCTGTTGATTTCCAGTGGACCCCTGATACATTGGGAATGTAAACACCATGATCTGAGGAGTTGTTCTCTCTGACCAAACAACTCCAGCCCCAGAGCAATAAATTGAAATAAAAAACAACTTTAAACTTTTCTAATATTGGTCATGCCACATAAAAAAAATATTAGAGGTTACAGTTTTTTTGTTTGTTGGTTTTGTTTTGCTTTCAGCTGATTGCTCTGTATACTCTACTTTAAAACTGGGGAGAGAATCTCAAAAAATGATAAAGATTACTGAGGATGGCAGTAGTCAAGAGCCCACACGTTTTTCATAGTCTAGAACAGAGACTAGCAAACTTTTCCTGTGGCGGACCAGATACTAAATATGTTAGGCTTATGGCCCTTCTGTTTCTGTAAAAAATCAATCTTTGATTGGATTTATGATGTTTTAAAAATTGTGAAAACCATTCTCAGGCCAGGATCCTTACCAAAATGGACCACAGGCACAATTTGGCCTGCAGTGTGCCAACTCCTGTTCTATACGCTCGATTGCAATTTTGGAGGAACAAAATATCACGGAAAAACTCTAGAGACATGGTCAATTTTTAGAGGAAGCAATGAGCAGGAATATCAGGATCTAGCACAAATAATTAGGAAAGAATTTCTGGAAAAAACAATTGAGCAAAAGAAAGAAAAGGGGCCCTGACTGGGTAACTCTATTGGTTGGAGCATTGTCCCGATGCGCCATGGTTGTGGGTTTGATCCCTGTTAGGGCACATACAAAAGTCAACCAATGAATGCATAAATGAGCAGAATAACAATATCTCTCTCTCTCTCTCTCTCTCTCTCTCTCTCTCTCTCTCTCTCTCTCCCCCCACCCCTTCCTCTCTCTATACAATTTTAAAAAAGAAAAAAAGGGAAAAGAAGTACAGAAATTGTGAGACTTGGGACATGAGAAAGAGGCAGGAATATAGGATAAGGACTGATCAGAGTAGTACCTCGAACAAAGCAGAGAGCCTGGAAAACTGGAGTAAATGAGGGAGAATTTTTTGTTAAGTATGGTTAGTGGCAAATGCACAGGGATCTTGCTGTGTAACAGTGTGGATTTGCATGCGCATTTGAGAAGGAATTTGCTTCCATCTTGTGGCTGACAGCTGCGGTCCTCTTTAAACCTTGTCAGCTCACAGGCCTTTGCTTGCTTTCCTGCCCTGTTCCAAGACTGTGATTCAGTGTTTGTTCAATTAGCGTTTTTGATTTGAACAAAAAGGGGGAAGTCAGTGAGTCACTGTCTTGGGATGTAGGTTGGCAAGGGTGAGTGGGAGGAACAGCAATGACTGTGGAAAGCTTTCTGGGAATTGAAAAGTGAAGGAAGTCATTTCAGCCATGTAACATTCATCATAATATAAAAATTTTCTCCCCAGATTACTGACCATCAGAAAACAGTCAAGATGGAGAAAAAGGAGAATCAGAACATGAACTGTGAGGTAATACACGTGCGCGAGAGAATATGGAAATGAGTCTCAAATGTAAGACCAGGTTGGAAAACAGGTAAACAGGCTACCTTTTGCTAGAAGATCATTTGAAAGACAGGAACTTCTAAATATTTTGGAAATATTAGACATTATAAGGAAGTGCCCATTTCCCCAGAATTATGAAAGAGCGCTGAACTAGGAGTTCAGATGTCTTGGCTTTCGTCTTTAGTCTGCTCCTTACTAGCAGTGTGACTTCTGGAAAGTGAGGAGTCTCACTTTCCTCATCAGTAAAATGGAGAGACTATGTTTTTTCCATTTCATACTGTTGTTTTGTACATGGATATTAGAGGGCTCTGTAAAGTATTAAGAACTGTGACAATGACAGCAACTCAATGAGTTATCGTATTTCATTTGTGCATTGACTTCACTCATGCATAGCAGCCTGTGTACTATGACTGAGAGATTTCCAAAGGACTAGCTACCGGTCAAATTCCATCTCTGGAATTGACTGTGGTTCAATGATTAAGTCATTTTTATGGGGTCCAAAGTTTCTATATTCCATAGATTATGAAAATAAGGAACATTAAAATGCAAACGTATCAAAGACAGGACTTGATTCAACTGTGGACATCTGAGCTCTTGATTAGTTGGTCACCTAGCAATGTCTGGGAAGAAGGGGCAGAATTGTCATTAAATAGAAGGGACCAAAGAGCTTGGTGTCACCATGAATGCATTGAATTCCATCAGAGCTCCAGAGGCAAGCAAGGCATTAAGGAAGAGAGGAAAGGACTCTGCAGATGACTTAATGACTGTGACTCAGTCTAGTTCTGCTTAGATTTAGTTTTTTTGTGAAATAGCAGCCTGTGATCTTTTTTCCCAGTGTCATTTTTTTCCTAAATAATTGTTTTTGGAACAGGAGCCTGACAAACCTCCCTGGGGCTATTATAACATAGACAGGTAACTTTCCATAAAAAAAGCATGCTCTCCTTCCAGGCAACCTTTTCAGGCTGCCTTGCATCTAGATGGGACTGGGTACCAATTGCATGTGGGTGGATTTGATGCATGCTTCTTACAGGCTGAAGTGGTTAAAAAGACAATGGAGTTCTCTCTCTCTCTCTCTCTCTCTCTCTCTCTCTCTCTCTCTCTCGCCTGCCTACTGTATATTGATACCAGTGGCAATGCTGGAAAGCAAATCTTGAAGATGTAATAAAACTAAAAGGAAACTGGGCGTCTGAGTCACTGTTTGGAGAAGAGCTCCCTGACCAGGAACACGTACATTGAAATAGAATATGAGCAAAAATCCACTGGGATTTTTGGGTTTTCTTGTATAGCAGCGCATGTCACTTGGTTTATTAACTATTGATTTTATCAAACCTCTTTAGACTATTCTGCTTTCCACAAATTGTAATTGGCCTTTTCTCTTGAGCAGCAGCCCTTGCCCTCTTCCTTTTCTCTCCAGATGCTTTCTACTCTCCTTGCAATCATGTCCTCAAAGAAATAATGGAATCCACACAGAGCAAAGAGAACAGAAGAATAATGGTTATTTCATGCATGAATGCATGCATGCATTCATTTATTTTTCTGCTTGACTTGGCTGAACAGTAGTAGCCCAGGGGCTGGATAGGAGCCAAGAACAGATGTCTAAACTCTTGCGCTCGATTTTTAAAAAGTATAAACATAAAGGCCTTGCGTTTCAATTAAATTGAGAACCAAGAGGAAGAGTGTTTTCTCACCACTTTACACCCATGGAATTTGCTTCTTTTTCATTTCTTACTTTTCATTTGGCAGGGTGCCCTTGACATGAAAGATTTGTCAGTGGAGCACCCTGTGGTCATTACCTGGTTTATAAAATTGGCGTAGGAAGATCAGAGTTGTTTCTACCAAAAACCAAGCTATGTGCCTGGAGGAGAGGTTTAAATACTTGGATAGGAGAAAAACTGAGGGTGCACATATGGAAGGAGGGTAAAGTCACACGTACAGAATAAGTAAACAAAACCTAGAAAACAAAAACAACTAAAAATAAGAGTTTGATCTCTGTTTTGTTCATTTGGTTTGTGTTTTTATTTTTATTATTTTTTATTAATTTATTTTTGTTACAGATGTTTCTCCTTTTTCCCCCCATTGACACCCTCCTCCCCACCCCCACCCCTGTCCCCAGCTTTGTTGTCTATGTCCATCAGTTATGCATATATGCATATAAGTTTTGTGGTTTATCCTTTCCCTCCCCTCTGCCCCTCTTCTAAGGATTGCCAGTCTGTACCCTACTTCTATGACTCTGGTTCTAGTTTGTTCATCAGTTTGTTTAGCTCTTTATATTCCAGAAATAAGTGAGATCATTGAATATTTGTCTTTCTCTGCTTGGCTTGTTTCACTTAGGATAATACTTTCCAGGTCCTTCCATGTCGTCTCAAAGGATAAGATATCTTTCTTTCTTACAGCTGCATAGTACTCCATTGTGTATATGTACCACAGCTTTTTTATTCACTTGTCTACTGATGAACACTTAGGCTGTTTCCAGATCTTAGTTATTGTAAATAGTGCTGCTATGAACATAGGAGTACATATATTCTTTCTGATTAGTTTTCAGGCTTCTTAGGGTATATTCCTAGAAGTGGGATTACTGGGTCAAATGACCCCTCTCCAAATAGGACATACAAATGGCCAAGAGACATATAAAAAAATGCTCAATGTCACTAACCATCAGAGAGATGTAAAGTAAAACAACAATGAGGTATCACTTCACACCTGTCAGAATAGCTGCCATCAACAAATCATCAAACAACAAGTGCTGATGAGGGTATGGAGAAAAGGGGACTCTAGTACACTGCTGGTGGGAATGCAGACTGATGCAGTCACTATAGAAAACACTATTTTCAAAAAATTAAAAATTGAACTGCCATTTGACCCAGTGATCCCACTTTTAGGTGGTTTGTGTTTTTAGATTCCACATATAAGTAAAACAATATGGTATTTGTGGTTCTCTGTCTGACTTATTTCACTTAGCATAATATTGTCCAGGTCCATTCATGTTGTCATAAATGGCAATATTTCATTCGTTTTTATTGCTGAGTAATAGTCCATTATGTATACCATGTCTTCTTTATCCACTCATCTATTGATGAACACCTAGGTTGTTTCTGTATCTTGGCTATTGTGAATAATGCTGCAATGACCATAGGGCTGCACATATATTTTTGTATTAGTGGTTTTATTTTCTTTGACTATCCAAACGGAATTGCTGGGTTGTATGACAGCTCTTATTTGAGTTTTCTGAGAAATATTCATATTGTTTTCCATAGTGGCTGTGCCATTTTAAATTCCCACCAACAGTGCATGAGGGTTTCCTTTCTCCACATCTTTGCCAACACACATTATTTGTTTACTTTTGATAATGGTCATTCTAACTGGTGTGAGGTGGTATCTCATTATGATTTTGATTTGCATTTTTGTTGATAATTTTAGGGTCCAAGGTTTTCAGTGTATAAAATTAGAGAAAATGTATAGAAACAAGGAAGATATTGTGGTAGGAGAAACCCTATCAATCAAGTCTGAATTGTAAATAGCAATATGAGCACAGGTTTATATGATATAATCTACACATAATCTATATAAAGTATAGCATGTATTATACACAATATAACCTATGTAATCTATATGTATTTATCTGCATATAATCTGTTTATATTATATATGTATATATATGTAAATACATATACATATGTGTGTGTATAGAGGACAAAAAAAATGCAAGAATGTGCTCTGTCCAATGAAAGAGCTTAGAAACCATTTTTGCTTCAGTAACAATGAGTACACGTAACATTCAATAATGGTTTTCTAAAATACCATTCTTACTAAAAGGAACCAAGGATCCTTAAAGAAATAGTCAATTCTAGGTTTGATGCAAGGAAAATTTAAGGTGAGCTTAAGATCTGTTATTGTATCAGAAGCTAGAAAATACTAAAGACTTGTTAAAAGGATCCAGGTGAATGGGTTCTCACTGGCCAAGTTCAGGAAAATATGAGCCTCAAATCATTGATATGATTGATCATATCAATAAAAATGTCTGAGTCCATAATGACACTAAAAAAAAAAAGGAAAGTTTAAAAAAAGAGAAAATTAAAGCTTATTGGCTATAATGAAGATTCTTAGTACACAACTCCTTATCAGGAAAATTACTAATTAAAAGGAAATAATTAAGCTTTACTTTGTTTATATTCATCTGGATAGGTCCTTTTTTTTTTTTTTTTTTTTTTTTTTGCAGTGGCAAATGTCAAAATCTTAGTGGCTTAAAACAAAAACATTTATGTTTCACTTTCACTACATATCTGTCTTGGGTGAGCAGGTATTCTGATTTACATCATCCTCACTCAGAGATGTAACATAACATGTGACAGAAACATAATAATTTAGAATGTTGCTGTTCTCTGTGGCAGTGGGAAGGAAGGTGCTGGGAAATGCAACACGTGCCTGCTCATATTTCATTGGCTCAAGCAAATTCTATGGCCATGTCCAAGTTTAGGAGGGTGGAAGAGTTCAGTCCCACAATGGAAGATTGTATAATTTTTAGGAAATAATTTCCTTCTTACCTCTTTTGCAGGAACAGAGCAAAATTTCTCCCTGCACCGATTTCATGACTTGCTTTGGCTGATGCAGTGTAGGCGGACGTGACAGCATGCTGGCCCAAAGCAGAAGCTCTAAGAGGCAGCTCATGGTTTTACTCTCCTTTGTGCTCATACCATCCAGCAAAAGAACAGGCGCCTAGGAGCCATTACTTTTTTTTCTTCCCATTTTATTTATTTATTATTAATTTATTGATTTTTACTTTATATATTTTTTGTTTATTTTTCAACTACAGTTGACATCCACTATTATACTAGTTTTAGGTGTACAACCTAGTTATTATACATTGTATAACTTATTAAGTGATCACTTCGATAAATCTAGTATCTGACACCATACATAGTTATTACAACATTATTGACTATATTCCCTATGCTGTACTTTACATTCCTGTGACTCTTCTGTTACTACCAATTTGTACTTCATATATATATATATATTTTTTTTTTTTTTCTTTATTGATTTTAGCGAGAGAGTGAGGGAGAGGGAGAGAGAGATAAAAGATTGATGAGAGAATATCGATCGGCCGCCTCCTGCATGACCACTCCACTGGGGATCAGGCCCAAATGTGGGCATGTTTTCTGACCAGGAATTGAACTGGATTGACACGCAGCCACTGAGTCACACCAGCCAGGCCCAATTTGTACTTCTTAATACCTTTAAACTCCTGGTTTGAGAGACATGAGACTGATCTAGACCTTAAAGCAAAGCCCGGAAAAGATACAGCTGAGACATAGACAAATCACAGCACTATGAGCAAGAAATGTTTGTTGATATAAGCCACCAAGATTTTGGATTGTCTGTTACTGAAGAAAAAGCTAAATGATCCACCCATCATGTACTTAGAAGGAAGGAAAAACTTGAATGTTGGTGGATAGCCTAAATGACTACCACATTATCTTTTAAGAAAAAACCATTGTGAATAATGCAGAAGATTGCCAGCTAATAAATATAGAAGGAATTAATACCACTAGAATCACCACTTGACATCCTGAAATAACTGATTCAGGTAATTATTATCAATGAATTTTAGAGCCATAGGTAAAAGTTTGTTCTGAAATAGAATATTTGAATGAGGCCTAAGTGCCACCCAACAGATTACTTTCTCTTTTCAAAGGGTTAAATGTACCTTTAAAATAGAGAGAGCCATTATTATTGTTCTCTACATACTGACAGTGGACAAGTTGACATTATGTGCCTCCTGGTACAATGCAATGTGAAGCAACAGTATTGCCTTTGTAATACCCTTGCCTAAAATATAATACCCTTTCAACTGTTAAAGCTTTCATTCAGTGTTCTAATATATAAGAAATACAGGAGACAAAGAAATATGTTATATAATGCTACAAGAAAAAACACATCAGGAATATGGTCATTTTATAAGGTGGTTGTGCTACCATAAACTGTCAGTTGGAGTGCTGGGGAGTTTCCCCCACTGGAAAAGATGGCACAGGGGGAGGTTCTTACACTAAGTGCATCAAAAGCTAGAAAGACAAACGAATAGGGTCTGAGTGTGCCAAAACTCAGAACAATGAATGGACAGGGCCCCAGCCCACTGAAATCTTGCAAGATAATTGGATTTGAATAGTGCCCTGCCCTCTCTTATCCCTCTAAGATTGGTGGGCTGGAGCAGGAAGGAGAGATGGTCTTTGAGACAAAAGTTTACCATTCTCTCAGGTGGGGCAACATCTGAATAAAAACTCTCTTCCCTTTTCACCAGCACCTGTATCACAAGTTTGGCTTTTGTTGCAACAAGCAGCGGAACCTGCATTTGTTTGGTTACAATTGTTTAAGACTCTTCAACATGCCCATGTCATGGGGGCTTAGTCTATGTATGTAGCTGAACTGGTTTAAAAGTCACGGAAGATATGAAACAAGTGCATAAACCTTGATTGGATTTTAGTTTGGGAAAAAAAAGAAAACCTAACTATGAGGGCATTTGTTGGTCAGTTTTGGAAATTTGACCCTATGGCCTGCATGATAACAGGGTATTTTTGGTGATATTCTTAGGTATGATAAAGGTATTCAGGTTATATAAGAGATTCTTTTTTTTTTTTTTTAATAGGAGATGTTTGCTAAAGTATTTAGTAGATAAATATTGTGATACCTAATCCAATGTTAAAGAGCTCAGAAAATTTTAAAGATAAATAAACACACTTATAATATTTAAAATTCAGGTAAAATGTTAATGTTTCTTGAATTTAAGTAATGGATGTGCATGTGTTTTTATGATCTTATTATTTCAAATTTATATTTGAAATTTTTATATAAATTTTTTTATATTAAAAACTTGGGGGTGCAATTCAAATCTGTACTAAAATTGCAATCCTGATCCAGAAATCTTACATGATAAATGTGACTTCAATTTGTTTTATTTACCTTGTTTCTGAGCCATTTCATCTCAGGGTTCTGAGACTGAACAGTTGTTTTTGACCTTCTGCATCCTCCATCATTTTTCCTCATACAAGAAGCCATCTATTGATTTAGGGCAGGAGATTGATAGTCACACTTTACTTGATGTATAGCCCACCTGCAGAAGCCATACCTTACTGGATAGCCTGGTGCTTCTCAGTTTTAGAAAGACAATACATACAAAATGCATGTACTTAAAATTGATGTTATTATTTTTTCTATATTTCTACATCCGTCTCACAGCATGAGGCATTTTCTTCTCTAAGGTTAATTTTACCTATGCTCCAGAACACATCCATTCCTGATGTCTTCAGGATTGATCTGATCTTTTGTTACCCTATTCTTCACATCATTTCTTTTGACTTTTGGCCTTCAGCCTAACACACACATACGCCTGTCACCTTCATTTCAAAATAAAAATTATTTTTCTGCTCGACTAAGCCTCCTAAGATGTATTGACCTATCTGTATTCTTTCTTAATGGCAAATTTTCTGTTAACTACAGTTTATACAAGCTATTGCTGTTTTCTGGTCATTTATTCATTATTCTCATTTGTTACTGAAACAATTCTTGTTAAAGTCACACAAAAAAGTCAAATTCAATTTCTTTTATTTTATATTTTAAAAAGATACTAGCAAGTGTCTTTATTTTTGTTGACACTATTACAGATGTCACTCACTTAATCCCTCTTTTCTCACCTCTACTGAGCCCCTGCCCCTTTCTCTCTCTGGCCTTCTCCACACTGTTGTCTGTGTACATGGGTTATGTATGTTATTTGGCTAATCTCTTCACATTCTTTTATCTAGTCCCCTATCCTCCACCTCACTCCCCTCTGATATCTGTCAGTCTATTCCATATATTAATTCTTCTGGTTCTATTTTGTTTATCAGTTTATTTTGTTCATTAAAGTCCCCATGTAAGTGACAACATATGGTATGTGTTTTTATCTGACTGGCTTATTTCACTTAGCATAATAAACTCCAGGTCTGTGCATGATGTCTCAAAGGATAAGAAGGCCTTTTTTTACAACTGCACTGTATTCCATTGTGTAAATGTACCACAGCCTTTTTTATCCACACATTTACCGATGAGCACTTGGGCAGTTTACATATATATATATATATATATATATATATATATATATATATATATATATATATCTTATCAGATGTATCATTGGAAAATATATTCTCCCATACAGTATGTTGTCTTTTCATTTGGTTGATGGTTTCTTTTGCTGTGCAGATGCTTTTTAGTTTGATGCAGTCCAATTTGTTTATTTTTTCCTTTGTTTTGTTGCACTAGGAGATGTATTGGCAAAAATATTCTATGAGAGATGTCTGAGATTTTACTGCTTATGTTATCTTCTAGGATTTTTATAGTTTCATGACTTACATTTAAGTGTTCTATCCATTTTGAGTTTATTCTTGTGTATGGTTTAAATTGGTGGTCTAGTTTTATTTCTTGGCATTTATCTGTCCAATTTTCCCAGCACTATTTATTGAAGAGACTGTCTTTTCTCTGTTGTTTGCTCTTGCCTCATATGTCGAATATTAATTGACCATAAAGGTGTGGATTGCTTCTGGCTCTCTGTTCCGTTCCATTGATCTATATACCTGTTCTTATACCACTACCAAGCTGTTTTCATTACAATGGCCTTGTAGTATAGTTTGATATATGGTATTTTGATAACTCCAACATTGTTCTTCTTTCTCAACATTGCTGAGGCTATTTGGGGTCATTTGGGTTCCATAACACTTTTTGGAATATTTGTTCTAGATCTGTAAAATATGCCACTGGTATTTTAATAGAAATTGTGATGAATCCATAGATTGCTTTGGGTAGTATAGACATTTTAATTATGTTAATTCTTCCAATCCTTGAGCATGGTATATACTTCCACTTGGTTCTAGCTTCCTCGATTTATTTTATCAATGTTCTATAGTTTTCTGAGTGTAGGTATTTACCTCCTCAGTTAAATTTATTCCTAGGTACCTTATTTTTGTTTGTTGTTGCAATAAGAAATGGGGTTGTTTTCTTAATTTCTCTTTCTAATAGTTTCTTATTGGTGTATAAAAATATACATTTCTGGATATTAATTTTGTATCCAGCTATTTTGCTAAATTCTAATTGTTTTTTGGTGGATTCTTTATGTTATTCTAAATACAGTATCATGTCATCTGCATAAAATGATAGTTTTACTTCCTCCTTTCCAATCTGGATGCCTTTTATTTTTTCTTCTTTTCTGATTGCTGTGGCTAGAACTTCCAGTACCATGTTAAACAAGAGTGGTAAAAGCAGACATTCCTATCTTGTTCTTTATCTTAAGGGAAACGCTTTTAATTTTGCCCATTATGATGTTGGCTGTAGGTTTTGCATGTATGGCTTATGTTATGTTGAGGTATGTTTCCTTGATTACCACTTTACTGAGAGCTTTTATCATAAATGGTTGCTGGATTTTGTTGAATGCTTTTTCTATGTCTAGTGATATAATCATGTGATTTTTATCCTTCATTTAGTTTATGGGATCTATTATGTTTATTGATTTGTGAATATTGAACCAATCTTGCATGCCTTGAATAAATACCACTTGGTCATGGTGTATGAGCTTTTTAATATATTGCTAGATCTGATTTGGTAATTTTTTTTTTTTTAGATTTTAGCATGTGTGATCATCAGGGATATTGATCTGTAATAATTTTTTTTTTTTCTTTGTTGTGTCTTTAACTGGTTTTGGAATTGGGATAATGCTGGCTTCAAAAAATGAGCTTGGATATCTTCCCTCCTCTTTGATTTTTTGGAATAGTTTGAGGAGGATAGGTGTTAATTCATTTTTGAATATTTGGTAAAACTGGCCTGTAAAGCCATTCGATCTAGGACTTTTGTTTGCTGGGAGTTTCTTTAAATTACTGTTTTAATTCCATTAGTTATTAATGGTCTTTTCATGTTTTCTGATTATTCCTGATTGAATTTGGAAGATTGTATGTTTCTAAGAACTTGTCAATTTAGACTGGTTGTCCAGTTTGTTGGCATAGGGTTATTCAAAGTGTTTTCTTACAGTCCTTCCTATTTCTATGATGTCAGTTGTTACTTTGACTCTTTAATTTCTAATTTTATTTATTTGGGTCCTTTCTCTTTTTATCTTGCTATGTCTGGCTAAAGGTTCATCAATGTTGTCTATCTTTTCAAAGAACCAATTCTTGATTTTATTGATCTTTTGTATTACTTTTTATTCTCTATGACATTTAGTTCTACTCTGATGTTTGTTATTTCCCTCCTGTTTACTCTGGGCTTTTCTTGTTGTTCTCTTTCTTATTCTTTATTTGTAAGGTTAGATTATTTATTTGAGCTTTTTCTCATTTCTTGAGGTAGGACTACAGTTCTCTGAACCTCCCTCTAAGGACTGCTTTTGCTGTGTCTCAAAGATTTGGGGTTGTTGTGTGTTCATTTTTATTTGTTCTAAGGACTTTTTTATTTCTTCCTTAATCTCATTGGTAATTCATTCATTGTTTAATAACATGCTATTTAGTCTACATATGTTTGAATGTTTTTGAATTTTTATTGTAGTTGATTTCTAGTTTCATGCCATTGTTATTT